TCAACCAGGGAACCCAACCTAAGATAAACTCTCACGACTCAAATGTCAGGATCTAACTCACCAGGCCAAGCTGAGATACCAATGTGCTGCAATACAGGTTGCAGAGGAACAGTGCCATCTATATCAAGAATAATCTCTCCTTCAGCGAGCTGGAGGTTAGCAAATGTTGGTCCCGAAACACTCTTTACAGCCTTAATCACTCTGCATAGATAGAACAATTAAAGTAGATATTGACAACCATTTGCTAGTAAACATCCAATCCATCAAAACGCATGAAATAGCAAATGAGATGCAAAATGAATCTGTAACACTTGAAATAGTATGTACGGTGCCTCTAATGTAATTGCTAAAACTACATTCTTCTCAAGTGAAAAGAAAGAAACAAAATCTTTCTCAATGGCTGTCCATTAAAAGGTGCTTTGCATCTTGAAAAGCCTTCTTAACGTACCATGGACATCATAAAGAATTAGAGCAATCAACAAGTTACTGCATCAAACATCGGATATTATCAGTAACTAGAAAATTGTAGTTCCCGTAAATCAACTTTCTGGTCCCCTCCCATTTTCAGAGCCTGCTTTTACTGATTTTTCCATTGTCAGCTACATGGCACCAGTACCATTTTGGTTCAATTCTCTTCACCTCCTAGTACTTTTGACTGTCCTCCAACCAGTCACCATCTCAATCTGGCTAACAAACCTGAGTAGTTAGATGACGTGTGTATAGCTATTGACTCCTACTTTGAACAATTATCTCATACAAACATAAGGTATAACTTTAAATCTCCAATGAACTGTACCCAATTTCAAAGGATCAAATGACTGTCTTCCTTCTATGCTTCTCAGTTTGTTTCCAGACACCCTCCCTGCCCGGATCTCATGGTCTTCTGGGGTGTTTATTTTCATCTAACAACTCAATCAAATCGCCAGTCCAATATGCAGGAGCTCCAAGGGAACAACCTTCAGTTCTAGAAATAATTGACTTTGACCATGCCTAAACAACACGATACAGCTGTCTGTATTGTGAAACTTCATGCAAACAATTTGGAGCCCTAACTGAAGCTAACTCTGATTGGTTGATCTGATTAATCCACCAATGGTGGGCTGGTTGATGATCCTTCTTTATCTTGGTGCACATGTATTACGCTTGAAGTACACAAACGAAATCACACTAGCAAAGCCTATCAGGTACATGTTGCATCTTTTTGTGCTTTGTCAATGGGTTAAATTAGCAAAAAGGCCTATCAGCTGCTTGATGTTCGAATTACTCTTGCAGAAAAACAAAACTAGATCCAGATTCTGATCGATTCGTATGATTGTGTCATGGAAATTAAACTATTTAGACCAAACACTAGAAGGAAAAGAAACACTAAAAGTTCTTTGTAACAATTCTGGCAAAAACTAAGTAAATTGGCAGATGATGTCACAGTACAAACTATAACAGCCAGAAAAGCAAGAAAGGGAGTAAGTCTTTACTTATCAAGACTTCGAAGGTACTTGTCATACAAAAGAAAATGAAGCTGGTTGCATGAGGAGCCTGTGAGAGCATAAAAAAGATTCTTGACGGTTATTACATCGGCAATGGCAGCACAAGCTGGAGCGATTCGTGCAAATGCATCGATCCCAGCAGTTTTCTTGTTATCAACCTAAAGGAGAGAGAAAACAATTCTCAATTTTATGTTTTGCCCTACCATCAACAAGACTTTTGTGAAAGGCAGTAACTTAACAATTGGGATTTAGCAAGACACTGAATGACCCATGCAAGAGCCCTGCGCACCTGAACAGCCATGGTAGTTGAGGCTGTGTAAAAAAATGACCATCCGTCACCATCTTCTGCTTCTTTGCCAGTATTTTTTTCCTACAATCAAAATAATCAAAGTCAGTTGTATGAAGCGGTAGTGTTCCAGTTCCTTCAAATCACCAAAATGAGGATTTTAATGCCCACAAAATAAATTAGTGGACGTTTTACAAATATCAGTGGGTTATCAAATAACTTGTCTCACTTTGGCCAGCACTTCACTAGCCACATCCGGGGACTCCCAGGCAAGCATCATATCAAATGTCAAGCGGCGGAACTCCTTGTCACCCAGATAATCAGGAGCTTTCGTCGCCACGTTCATTGCCTTGTATGAGCAAAACTCTACAAAATTCCTAGCGTTTACTGAAGGTTGCCTAGCACTTTCAGGAATCTCTTCATCAAAATGATGACACAGTTCTTCAGTGGAAACTTTAAGGATCCTGAATATAAGCAAATTCAAAAATCCAATCAATTTATAAGAAATACAAGAAAAAGCAGCCAATCAGGCTAATAGTTAGGTTGAGGTAGCTACACTAGTGCAAGACTACAATCCTAAAAGTGCCATTTTCATTTCGAATGCCAATACCACTTTTTATCTAAACTCCCGAAGCCCACCTGGACTCACCATTCAGGTCCCCACTCAAGTAGAATCAAAGACAAGCAGTGGCATATTCCCATGAGCATTGAGAAATATTAAATCCGGAAATGCGAGAGTGAGTATTCAAGATTCCATTCGAGCAACTTTCCAGGATTAAGTTAAAGCTCCATATCTGAAGCAATACTACAGTATGTACCGCCGCCCCCACTCAAAAACCATTTCTCTCTCGAGAATATTCGCCCAAACCATCAAAGAGCAAGAAACAGCTGACTGATTGCCAAAAACACACGGACATACTCATGTCCGCACATGCATGCGCACGTTAGAAACAGCTCACCGATTGCCTGGACATCTTCTCTAAGTCCATCAATGTTTGATCAGCACTAATAAAAGAACATAGGCAAAGGGACAGATGACTTAACACTCAGTCATGGACACTTCTTCTCAGCATCTCATAGAGTCTAACCATCAATTAAGTGCCGAAAACATCAAGAAAGTATGAACAGATAGGTTCCTGACAATCTCATGCACACACTTCAGCAGCAACTACCGCATACAAGCTCATTGCACAAATTGCTTTTCAAGCTCAATCACGTCAGCACAAGTCGCTATGAATTGCGGCTGCCGTCCCAAGAACAGCTTCGCAAAGCATTCCTAAGTCCACACGAAGTTATTCTAAACAAAAATGCATATCGCGACGTAGTCCGGACCTAAAGCCATCACCACTTCTTCGAACATCACGCACCAAGTAGCACAAGCCTCAACGCACATTCACTTGACAGAGAGTTTTGAAACCTCGGGAACTCACATTCACTTCCGGTCGCGAGCAGAGAGAGAAATCGGGAGCGCGCGCTCACCTGGAACAGCGAGACACGACGGAGTTGGCGACGGGGGAGAGGAAGGGGAGGGGCCTAGGGGAATCGGCGTCGTCCACGGCGCCCGGTTTCTTGCGCTGGAAGAGGGACCTCAACGAGCTCCGCTGGCTTCTCATGAAATTCTCGAGAAGCGTTCCCATCTTGTTGCCACTGCCGTCGCCGCCGCCGCCGTCGCCGCCGCCGTGAGGGACGACCTCCATGCTCGTCGGGCTGGTGTTCGCGAGCTCTCGATCTTCGTCTTCTTCGAGGGAACGGAACGAGAGAAAACGAGATCAACGCGTCTCGGCGCCAAACGGAAATGCCTTGCGTGATCTGGCCGTTTCTCTCCTCGATGCTCGCTCCCTCCTTGGGGAACGAGAGAAATGCTTGAAAGCGATATTTCTCTCTTTTCTTTTTTATTTTGATTGGGAAAATTTCGATGGACGTCGAAAAGAATTAAGATACAGCTAAAAAAACGAATATTAAACCCTTTAATTGGTGGAATCCAATTCCAAAAACATGTATTTTGATGTTCTTCTTCTTTTTTTTAATATTTGAGTTTTTATTGGATTCCGTATATATGGACGAGTAGAGGTGAGCAGAAAAAAAATTTCAAACCGTCGAATTGAATCGGACCAAATCATTTTTTGGAGTTCGATTCTGTTCAAGAGTTTTTCTTCGACGAAAAGATTCGCAAACCCATTTTGATTTGGTTGTATTTTCGATTATACTAATACTGTTTGGTTTGATTTAACTTCTTTTTTAATCGAATTTATGCATTTTGGTTCGGTTTGATTCAACATCCAATCTGCCTCGTGCTTAAATGCTCGCTAACGAGATGTTCGCATCGACTTTCTCTTTAAATTTTGTTGATGGAGGATCGCCATGAAAAGAAATGGTATTTTAAAGACAATAAAGCAAATAAAAAAATGAGTGTAAACACCGGATGAAATATTCGGTAAAAATGAAGAGGTATATTTATTTTTCGTATTTTCTTTCAAAATAGGGCAAAAGTCACAAAAAATCATAAACCATGTGTATTATGGCACATTTACCTAAATTTTTTTTTGTAACGTAAAAAATCCTAAACTTTCAAGATAGGACAAAAGTCAAGGTTCGTTAGATGATTTTTCAGTTAAAATAATGTGATTGTTATTTCACTTAAGTCACGTGAAAGTTGTGTCAATACTATTTGCTCTTCAAGGTAGACATGGCCACAGTTCGGAACCGACCAGTTCCGGTTCGTGGCCATGTATGAACCGGAACCAGCCGGTAAAAATTAAAAAAATAAATTATGAAATAAAAAAAATAATGAATTATCAAATTATGAAATAATGAATTATTCAATATAAAATGTAATCAAAATTTACATTGTAATCAAATTTGGAAAAAAAAAAAGAGAGAAAAAAAATAAATTTGCAATTTTTTTTAACCGGGCCCGGAACCGGCAGTTCTGGGCTCAGTTCCAAAATTGTTGGAACCGAAACCGGGCCCGTAGGCCACGGGCCGGTTTCGATTTTGAACCGCGGGCCCGATCAATGGACCGATCCCGGGTTTGACTCGGGTCTATTCCGGGCCGAAACCGGCCCGTGGCCATGTCTACTTTAAGGTCCATGTAAGTTGATTTTTAACGATTTCAATTAATAGAATTTTGAAACTTTTGGTGTAGTAAATATGCCACACAATATATGATTTATGATTTTTTTAGTGGCGTTTGCCCTTCAAAATAATACTTTCTCTTGTCAAAATAAGCATATACGAAAACCCGCCGCGCGTTGTCCCCACGGGACGGTCTCCCCTGTTGGATTGCGCCGCCGCTACAAATTTCCAGTCGATGCTGCTGACTATGGAGTCTAATAAGAGATCGTTTTCTCGAACACAACAGTGATGGGTGAAGAAATGATCTGAGGTGTTCGTCGCATTTCCTGCTCTTCTTCCTTTGATCGAGATAACCACCGACTTTTTCTCTGCACAAGAAAAGATGGGTCAAGCTCAGAGCGACGAAGCAGCGTGCGTAGCGGCTTCCGATGACCAATCTCGAGGCGGGCCGTCGGCATCTCCATCTTCTGGTGCTGCTGCGACCATGGATTCTCTGATTGCGGGTGTTTGCTCTTTTCCCTTTTCTTTTTCCTTTTTCTTGGGATGGGGTCGACGAGTAATGCCTGTTTTAGCTCGCAACAAGACTCTGATTCATCCCCACTTTTTGCTGCACTCGGTAGTTTTGGTAGATGGAACATGTCGAGTATTCTGTTACCGAAATTGGGTAGATGAGTTCGTTGATTTCTTGAATATATACCTTAGATGTTCGCCTGTTTCTCGAGACGGATTTGTGTATTTTGGCGTTTTTGGCTGTGGCCAGTGATTCATATTAGCTTACGAGTTTTCTCATTGACAATGAAATGCAGAACTATGGTTTTGGGTAAGCGAGAACTTGAGGTGAAAATTGTTAGTGAGGACTGAGAGCCATGTCCATTGTCGTTTAGAATTACAGTGGAGGACTTTTAATGCGACGCATGCAAAGATATGCACGTGCACTTGCTTAGCAATGAATGTTCCTTTTGTAAGGAGAAACAAGGGAAATTCTGGAACAGATGGTTTCCTAAGATTGAATGGTCAATGTGTCTTTTACGAAATTCAATCTTTTGTCAATGTGTCTTTGACCAAACTCGTTCATTCCTCATCAAGCCAAAAGGGGCAGGTGGGAGGATTCTTCTTGCGTGCTGCATGATGCTGTATCACTATTGGAATGCTGCCGAGCCCAATAAAAAGAGTCGATCACCTAGCGTAGTTTGCTGAGGTGAATCTTCTGTATTGTATATACCTGTATAGGAAGACATAAAAGGATGTGGAAGGAGATGTTAAGGAAACATGTGAAGCTCTTAGAGCTTACACAAGACCTGATACAGAATCGAGGGCAATTGTGTGATATAATAGGACTTGTGCAGGCGAGCTCACTTGGTGGAATAAGGTTTAGTTTGTTGTCTGTAGTATTGTTGTACTTGCCCATTTAGGAGACATCACATGTCCTTAATGAGTGAGAAAGAGTCAGTCGTCATGATCTTAGTTTAAATCCTGGAAAAGCTGCCAGTAGTTATACTTCTCTCTTAATTACCAAAACTAAGTACAACCGATATACTTTGAGACTGGGGAAAGGTGTTTCTGCAGGGTCCTATTTCTGAATGGACTGACATTAAAGATTAGCCTTATGGAAACTGGAGTGCAGACCTTGGAGTACATTTGTTGTCTTAACTGGAGATTTATTTTTCTAATGATTTCCTTCTGCAGAATTTTAGGTTATTACATTTGGTTTTGTTCTTGTTTCATTATGAATTTGCTGATAGCATCTGTTTGTGAGAACGAAGAAGTTTAGAGACATACGGAGAAACTTAGAGGAAGTTTTCGTAAATATAGATGTCATAGGTCCTGCTGTATCATGTGCTTGTGATTGTCAAGGTGGTATATTTGTACCATAGAAGCCTACCTTTTTGCACATTTCAATCTGGGTTAATACCACAAAAAACCCCAAACTGGTACACCTGTGACAATTTTATTCCGAACTAATTTTTTGACCACCAAAAACCGTAAACTGGTACACCTATGATAAATTTACCCCAAACTATTTTTTTGACCGCCAAAAGCCCCATGCTGGTACACTTGTGACAATTTTACCCCGAACTATTTTTTTGACCACCAAAAATCCCAAACTGGTACACCTGTAATAATTTTACCCCAAATTAATTTTTTGACCACTAAAAACCCAAAACTGGTACATTTGTGACAAATTTACCCTCCATTAATGTCCGTTAAATTGGATTAATATTACGAAAAACCACAAATTGATAAACTTGTGACAAACGGAGGGGTAAAACCCCAAACTGGTACATCCATCAACTACCACGTGTCATCAAACTTAGCAATTTGACAGTAAAATTTAACGGAAACTAACGGAGGGTAAATTTGTCACAGGTATACCAGTTTGGGGTTTTTGTTGGTCAAAAAATTAATTCGGGGTAAAATTGTCGCAGGTGTACCAGTTTTGGATTTTTAGTGGTCAAAAAAATAGTTTGGGGTAAATTTGTCACAGGTGTACCGGTTTGGGGTTTTTCATAGTATTAACCCTTTCAATCTTTAATAGCGAGGACTTCTGACCGTGGATGTACTCAGAAAAACATACTTCATGCTTTTACGGTTGGTTTACAACTTTACACTGTTATAATCTGGGAAATACGAAAGATTTCCTCGTGTATTTCTCTCTTTGTTTTGGTTTTGTTTAGAAAATGCTGATGGGTGGGATTCCATTTTTATTGTGGGTCTTCTTTTATAGTCTTCCTTTATAGTCTTACTTCACATAAGACAATTGATCCTATTAAAGAGATTAAAATGGTGAGAACTTTTCATGACCATGAGAACATCCAGTGCCACTCTAAAGCAATTCATTTGATGCACTTATCTGTTCAAGTTCCTTTTTGTCAGCTCTTATATTTGATTACAGTGGCTAGTCTTCCCAGAAAGGTATTCGGACGAGACTACTTTGTGGTTTTCGTTTTCCTGGAGCTTCTTTGACAAAGATGACAATTTTTAGTTATTTAAAATGTACCCTGCATAAGGCTGATATCTATTTAAGAACAGTTACCATTGGTGAAACTTATTTTGCTTTAGCTTTTCTAGATAAGCGGAATAATTGTATCAGATAGTAATTGGTCTTTCTCAAGTTCTCGAGTTCTCGAGAATTTATGCTATAAAAGAAAGGATCTCGAGAATGTAACTTGGAAACAACTGAGAAACTGATTTGTCTATAAAAATTGTTTTTTGAGAACCACCATTTGAAAATTACTTGCAGAACTGGCTACACTATTTTCTGTCTATGAAACACAAAATTTATTGAGACACATCTGTGATAAAACTAGTTTGTGGGGAGATATGCTTATGCACGTGCCTGCAAGCCACAAGCTCAGACCCTCATCTCAGTAATTTAAATGCCAGTATATGAGAGTGTTTACGTGAGGAGGAGTTAATTCTTTATAATAACGTCATACATAATACCAATATCCTTGTCATGATCAGATGTAGTCATCCTTTTCCTTTTACTGGTTTATCTGAAGACTTCATTGTTTTATTTTTCAGAAGCGGCAGCATATGGCGATAATGAAAATGAGGTTGATTCTCTCTCACATGTACTTCTTCCTTTAAGTAAATTACCAGGGATCTGATGTTGCTTTCAGTCTCTAGATGCGAAGGCACAGAAAGCTCTGGAATGTCCATGCATAGCTGACTTGAGAAATGGCCCATGTGGAACCCAGTTTTCTGAAGCTTTCGTGTGCTTCTTGAAAAGCACTGCCGAAGAAAAGGTACTCTAATTTACTAATTGATAGAAAGTGGAGCGTCAAATACTTGTTCAATCTATGCTGTTGAGTCCTAGTAGTCCCTACCTGCTATAGTGCTATTGCCTTTTTTTTTTTCCCTCGTAGTCTCGCAACATTCAATATTTTTTGTTTGACCTTCTTCTAAAGTTTTAGTGATCTGGCACTAATGGAAAATAAATTTGGGCTCTGTGGGTCAGGTCTTATACTCTGAGTCTTTTGGCAAGCTATTAGTCAGCAAGAAAGCTGTATAGTTTTAGTTCCATGTAGCTCTCTATTAGAATGCATACTGAAAACTTTGAGGCATCGCTAACAAAGAAAAAACTGCTCTATTTGTAAGGGCTCGGATTGCGTCCATCCGTTTGTTGCTCTGCAGAATTGTATCAAAGCCAATCCCGGCGCATTCTCTAAAGAAATTTTAGAAGGCGGTGATGATGATGATGTCAAGAAAGAGGAAGAGCTGAAGCAAGAGTACCGAATCATCCCTCCCACATGGTCCCAAGAGTCGCACAATGCGAAGTCAAAGCTTTAATGCCTATTCCTTTAGCATCCCCTCTTGCTCGCACAAGGATATCTAGCAGTTAGAGAAATTGTTAGTCATTTCATCCCATTTATTTAAGTATCATAAGAATATTCATTACTATGCAATAGCCAATGATCTTCTCATTTGATTGTCTTAGAATGTTCTTCAACATCTGAGCCCGAAAGATGCTTTGGAACAGTTTTAACCACCTGCCCAATATGAAGTAATGCTTGCGTGTAATTTGGTTATATTTCGGAAACTCAATTAGCATGTTTCAAATAACCATACAGCAAATTGACATAGTTTCTGTCTATGTCATATCAATACTAATATCATTGAAGAAACATGGTTGTATGAAAAATATATCGAGAAGTCATTCATCTGGGATCTAACTGACAAGTCAAAACTACCAGGAGATCTCCCTAGTATTAGTTTCGTTCTCTTAAATAAAGGCTCGAAATCATATTTTGTATTCTAGTTCATGCATTGACAGAAACTATGTCAAAAAACTTAAACGAACATCATAATCATATGTAGCAATCTAAGCAGATGTCAAACAAGCAAAGTTCAAACGAAAGAGAGAATCACATGGCTGTTTTCTGGAGAATCATGATCCTTGCAGTTTGGCTTCTTTGCGTCCTTGTGTCGCAGGGCACACTCTCGACACGACCACAGTGTACACAATACGCAACGCTCTCGACATGACACCAACATGGTGTACACAATTTGCCTTCACTAAGCTCCTGCCGAAGAGTATTGTTTCTACTCTTTCCTTGTTAAGTTTTCAGCACTTTAAATTGGATTAAATTTGGTCTCTCTCCTCTGTGTCGAACTTTTTGTTCTTCTATTCAGTTTGGTCATGTTGGCATCCCCAGCGTAGTAATCCATTATAATCTGCCGTTGTAGAGAGTGATATAATGGTTTAAAGTTCAATAGTCACATAGATCTCTAGTTCAGCTAAGTCTAGTTTCCCTGTAAATGGATTCAAGGTAGGCCAGACTTTGGGTTTTCATGCAATTTGAGTATCATGTTGATCTCCTTTCTGTGTGAACAAATTTATCTGATATGCAAATTCAACATCTATCACAAATTATCAGTAACCCTCACTTCAAGTGATCTTTGAGTCGAACTTCGCGTCAAACTTAAAAACGGATTGAGCTTCAGTCTAGTAGTTATCACCTGCTCAAGACTTCTTTCCTGTGCTTTCCGTGCTCGGTCCCAGGAAACACCCCGCCTTGCTGTGACTGCATTGATTCGAAAACGCTTCAGGCAGGACCAATCTGTTAAGGGTATTGCCATTTGGTAGCATCTTTTCTTGGTTACGTCACTTGAAACCATGTATCTTGTGTGAACGTCAAGGGACACATTTACAGAATTCTCTGATCTATTTTAGGATACTCATGCACTGAATATGTCATGGCGATGAATGATTTTGTTCTTTGTGGTTTCAGAAGCTATTGACAATTTGGGTTGTGCCTTAAATGATTTTGCATCTTTAATAATGCTTCCCAAAAAAAAAAATGCTCGAGTTAAAAGGGTAAAAACTCCAAATATATTGTTTATATACTTCTTGCAGGACTTCTGATCGTAGTCTTGACATCCATTAATCCAAATTATCATCAGGACACAACTTTTGAATCATGCTACACTGCACAGCTTTTGATTACTCCCTGTTTAGCTTGGGTTTCCTGCGAGTAATTCTAGGGAAGGCAGGTTATGTTAATGTTTTTGGGACATATTCCAAGTTTTTATTTGCTAATGCAAGTTGGATTTTACTTTGAACCATACGTATCGGGCACGGTATACTAAAACTTTCGGTTTTCCCGCCAGTGCATTGAGCTGCATTGAGGTAGGTTCGACTTCATATCGCTCCGACGTGGTATCATTCAGTACTGACCCTTGTAGATCGTAGTCATACGGGCAGTAACTGATAAGGCATCCATTAGATATTGTTCGATGCAACGAATTACCCTTTTTTTCTTCTCCTTTCTCTTTGCCCTCGGTTTTTTTATATTGGTTTCTTTTTACAATAAGCTGTAGGTAATAACTATATGCAATTCTTGGTCTTCAGCTCACAAGGTGTTTCCTTTAGTTGAAACACCATAGCATATGCATAGAATCTTTAGTTTAATATGAGGGTCTGCGGTTATTTAACCAAGAGGGGGGATCAACTAGTGAGATTATGCATGTCTAACACTCGACTATTGGCAAGCCTACTAATTTCTCAGGAGGTTCGCTCTAGTAATTTTCAGGTAATTTCATACAAAATCACCTAGAAATGTACCGAGACAATAATATAAGGTTTGAGAAATATAAGCTCTCAAATCTAAGTGCAGAAGTACCATATTGAATGACATGCAATAGAATTTCAGTTCTGATAAATTGAAAAGTTTGGAAAAGATTGCATAAAAAGTGAGACAAAGCTATAGATGACATACCAAAATCATGTTGCTGAGAAAATTCGGGGCAATAAAAGATCAGATATGACATGCAGTTGATGTCATTTCGGCCACAGAGGATGAATTTGTCCAACGATGCTCAACTGTTGCGCAAACTAAGAATTAACGATTGTAACAAGGGTCGAAACTCGTGGGAATAATCCATAACTTTTCAGAGCCTGCAGTTTATTGTTCAACGGTGCTAAAGTTCAGGAGGGTAAATTGCAGACATTTGAAAGTTTGGGGGTTATTGTGCGATTTGTGATAGTTTAGAGGGGTTTTGAGCAATTAAATTAAAAAAAAAAAAAAGAGAGAGAGAGAGAGAGAGAGGAAAACTTGGAAGCTAATTACGCACGTGCCACTCACGTGACCTATCCCGGCGGCGGGCCACGGCAAATCCACCCTGAACCCAAAAAGCCCACTCGAAAATCCTCCGCCTCCAGAAAGCTTCAATCTCGACCGCCGGAGAGAGCAATGGGGAGCGCCGCGCCGCCCGCTCAGATCCCGACGAGCTTCGGCCACGAGCTCAGAGCCTGCCTCCGTTGCCGTCTCGTCAAGACCTACGATCAGGTCCTCCCTCCCTCCCTCCCTCTCTCCATTCTGTTCTGCCGATTTCGCGGTTCTGCGGGACGAATCTTTTCTTCGTGCATTACATCTGCGATCGCGGCCTCCTTCTTTTGGCGTTCTGTAATTCTGAGGTCTTCTTCTTTTCCCCTCCGTGTAATCGCCGCGCCGATTTGCAGTTCAGAGACTCGGGCTGCGAGAACTGCGCCTTCTTCAAGATGGACGAAGACCACGAGCGCATCGTCGAGTGCACCACTCCCAATTTCAACGGGTACCAATTTTGTCTCATCCGCAGAAAACTCACGATCCTTGCTTAGCATGAGGTTTTTCGTTACCTGGTCTGTTAGCTGAGTTCGGTGGGATCTTCTTGTCCAGAGTTTGGACCTAAAAAGTGATGTTTCAGAATGCCGAACAGCGCGTCCTTTCCATGTTTTGGTTTGTTGCTTAGATTTTTGTGGAGTAAGAACTGACTCACGAGCTGTTGTAGGAATTGTGACCCTCTTGGGTATACTGTTGATGTTTTGTAGAAAAAGGATGGGCTGGCTGGTCATGTGGCTCGACCTGTTCATACTACTGATGAATGCACTCCCTCATTTCTCCGAAAGAGAGGAAGGAAGAGATGGGTCAGCTTCTGCTTAGGGGCAATGAGCCGGGTAGCTCGGTCCGGGACGGGACGGGTTTTGTGTCTGGAGTCTAGCGTTAAAATGAAAAAAAGGAATAGTTCTAGCTTCCTTCTGGTTAAGGAGTAACCTTTCGTTCCATAATTTAGCTTCGAACGTAACTCAACTTTAAAGTAGGTTAATGAGGTTTTCGCTAATGCACTTCCGTTTCGTCTCCCTACTAAAATTGGTGTTGACACCTTGGAATTCATTCTCGCAGGATAATCTCTGTCATGGATCCTAGTAGGAGCTGGGCTGCTCGGTGGCTTAGAATCGGTATGTTTTATTTTGTACTAACAGATGCTCCAAGTAATTTTGTACTGCTAGTATGCAGAGTGGTGTACCTGTATATTTTATGCAATTTCCTGCACCTTTGTGTTGTTTTCTTATGTGCTCTTACTAGAAGCTTATGTGGAGGATTGTGCACAAGATTTTCAAATAAAATTTGTCAAATAAATTGGTTGGCTCTTACGTCTTGCCTTTATAATTTGGTACGGACATGAGGAATTGCTTCCTTGAACGCAACTGTGCTGTAGAAGATTTTTGTGATATTGCACTGGGAACTGGGATCTTCTGGGAGAACTAATCTAGTACCTAGTACTGAAATTTGTTTTCTTATTGGGCATAGGTGAGTAAAATGTATATTGTGAGGGATGAATTTCAAGCTCTGATATCTGGCCTTTGTGCTTAAAAGATGATCACTTCATTTCTGGGAAGAGGCTTTGAGATCTTATGTTTTTCAACTCTGTAGAGGGAAAAGTTCATATGCACAACGAGTCCTGCAAAATTTGTTGTTATGAACTTTAGGAATGACATATTTTGAGAATTTTCTCTAGTTCTGTGAGGTTGACTTTCTTTCCTTACAGTTTCATAGAATATTGTTGTTTTCTCCTTCTCAATATATTTGCCAGTGTAAAGATTCTGCAATTTGGTAATTGCTTCTTCTCTCAAATTCCCTTGGATGCCAAGTCTTATATTCTATGTTTTTGTAGGAAAATTTGTTCCTGGTGTCTACACACTTGCAGTCTCAGAAGCACTACCTGAGGACCTGCAGGTCTGTATTCGATTGGGGCGTGAATTGTTGACATCTTCTTTTATGTGATAGAATTTATGTTGAATGTGCTCCAGTTGGCATATTTCTGTTCAAAATGTTGAGGGTGCTTCATTTGTGAAACTCTGCCATATAGAAGCTACGGCTCACATTGAGCATTTGAGCTATGACATCTTGGCTCAGGATAATATGGTCGTTAAAAGCCAATTGCCAAATTTACATGAAATAGAGTTTCTGTTGCTTGCTATAAATTAATATCACCGAGAGTGCCACACTTCTTAGATGTTGAGGACAGTTGATTTATAGGTTCACATGCAGAAACGCTGCAATTCCTTAGAGAAGCTGTCGTGGGATATCACTATCAAATCTTCTTCGTTCTTTGTCTGTTTCTGAGAATGAAGCATCCTTGCTTTTACGCCACTTACCCTTAATAAAGATTGCCTGTTGAATAATTATTCAATATGATGCTCACTGCCCAACCAAGCTGTTGAAGAAAATACTACATATGTAAATGCAATCATATCTTCAATTAGAAGCATTTATAAGCTTCGATCACTAATCAATTGTAGGCATGCCCAGTTCTTTGTTCTGCTCATATTAGGCCTTTTGAGACCCATCAACCCTGCGATGGACATGATCGCTGTCTTCTGGCTTTGAGCTGACTATCTCGTCTTAATCACTGCCAGTATCCACATATCAGGGTTGTGGATGACAACAAATAGAGGAGTAAAACCTGACCTCAGCTGCACTTTACTGTGCTGAGTATAAATTCGGCATATATATCAAAATGTAAGTAGTTATGAAGATATAAAATTTGTTAAATGGCATGGTGGATGCACCAACAGTTTGATGATCAGGGATCACCTAATTATTTAGGGTAGAATGACATACTGATCTGATTATCCTAGGATTTGAACAGGGTTCAACTAGATTATTGATTGTTATTTGAGACTAATCAGGCTATTTAAAGGACGAAAAGAATCCCACCTTCCATTAGTATTTTGTATATTACTGATGTCTGGAATGCTGAATCCATCCATCGTGAGCTTGTCCTTTGTGCGTATCAATTTCAAGCAAAGTAAGTCCAGACCTGGGGACTGGTGAGGACAATTCCATTTGCTTTTCTTGGTGTTGTGTTAGTTTAGTTCTTTGTTTGGCTGTGGAAAAGCATTCTCAGCATTTCCTGCTCTCTCTCTTCTATAACTAATGGTCAGATGATTCATTTGTGTTAAAATTGTTCTTGCACTTTCTAATTTTGGGCTTAGGGTCTTCAGAACCCTTGCTACGTGCACATCGATTATGGACATATAACTTTTGCCGATTTCTTGCAGAATTTATGTGAAGATGAACGTGTGCAGTATGTGCCTCCAAAACGCATATGATTTTTTAGTTGAGGGTTATGTTTGGATATCTGCCACACTTGTAGGATCATTACTTACCAGATGTAGTATAGGAAGTGTTCCAAGTCCTTGATCTTCAGGGTAATCGATCCTTTGGGAAATGAACGATGAAATGTATGATCAGAGATTCTGAAAATGCAAGCATGAACTTTTGAAAGCACTTGCAAGTTTATGCTTTCTTTTGCCCTCTAGATCCAGGTGCCATTGTGTTTTATTTTGTAAGGGGATAGATTGGAGCATTGTGTTCAGATGCATAGTCTTCAAGTTCAATCAGCAACGGTCTCTCAAAAGCTATGGCCGTTAAGCTTAGCATAGGCTCAAATACTATGTTCCTGAATGAAAATGATCAGAATGGAACTTCTTATATTGGTCTGGAACTGATTCAGAATTAGAGCTAGGAAGTTTGCGTGTGTCTATATTCTCTCAGCAGATCACGAATCTCTGTAAGTGAACCCATAATCACTTACACGAAATGGTACATTACACCCACAGCTTTTCGATCTCGAAGCAGAAATCAAGGAAAAACTGGGAGCGGTAGCGGCAAAAGCTTACCGGAAATCAAAGAAGCAGACAAAGGACTGTTCATTCGAAAAGCAAGAGAGATGAAGACTTACTCCGCAGGCTCATGTTACATTGGTCTTGTGGATTCAAATAGGAACCGATGCGTAAAGCAAAATCAATCGCTCCCGTGCACAAGTGAAGGTTCCTTGCCGATAATGTGAACTTGTCCTCCATCTCCTCTGGCTTTCGAAGACAGGTCTTAACCCATGAACGTGGAGCTGCTCCACCATGTTCACGTACATCAGGAGAAAGCCATGAATTCCTTCCTATGTATCAAATTGAGCGTCGTTGACAGCTTCATCGACGATCTGCCTCTCTCACTTGTATGCTCAAGCGGGGACCTCACGTGATAGATTTTGCTCAAGAATCACACAAGCGATATATGGAGTCATTTTCATTCGCGTGCAAGATGTATGTGCACAAATTCTGCGCGCTAACAAACCGGTGATGTCTGATCAATAATCACTGCTCGCTTCTTGCGGCTAATTTATTCGGGATCACATAACCATTACCATTTTCAGGACGTGTAAGACAATGTGAAAGATAAAGTCGAAAGAATCCCAGTGGACACACCCCCACAGCACATCGCATGGGAAAAAAGCAAAGTTTGATGTGTATTGGAGAAGAAACCACAGGCGTGCGATCAGAAGCTATCGACAGCAAAAAGTGCCATGACTTCGCGTCCCCATGGACCTCGACCCTCATCATCAACCTCCTCCTCCTCGTCTTCTGTTTATATATGTTTACATACCCATGTTATTTCAAAGAAGAAGAAGAAGAAGAAATATAGCCAAAAGAAAGAAAGGTAGTTGAAAGAGGCGACAACCATGGCCATTTCTTCAGCTTCAAGTGGGCTTCTCTGCAATTTCATGGTGATCTCCATGTTGTCGCTTGTTATGATCAGCGCTCGCCGCGAGACCGGTGCTCGACCGGTGAGGCACGAGGACGGCGTCGGATCATCCCTCGGTTCATACAGAAGATATCTTCTAGATAACGGCCTCGGTCTAACTCCACCCATGGGGTAATGTTTCGCTGTTTCTTCATTGCACTATACACTGTATGAGTGCTTAATCAAATTTCATATCGGAAATGTTCAGTGTTCACTTTCACTACTTTTCTAATTGAGTTCTTGTACTTTCATTTTTTTCTAATCAAGTCCCTTTACTACCGCACAAACTATTAATGAAGTTCCTCGGACACCAAATTCGATCGGATCCAACTTTCATGACGCTGAAGTGTGACCTGAATTAAATATTGCACACATAGACACGCACGGTGGATAATGAATAGGCGGGAGACTAAAGAACATTAATAAAAAATAAGGAGAACGAAGTGTATGGAGTTTTTGATAGTCACGACGAGTGTCGGCATAGGCAATGTTTTACTCGTATTACCCTCTGGCGTCCTCCAACAATCACGTTGGTTGGATTTAACCAAATTTGGTGCCGAAAATATTTGATTAGGTATTTTGTATAAGCAGAATGACTTGATTAAACAAATTAAAATTACAAGAATTCTATTAGAAAAGCAGTGAGAGTAGGGAGGGACAGTAAGAATTTTTCCTTTTTCATTTTCTTGCTTCTTGTCACTTAGACAATCTCTCATTCTGGACATATTAACTGAAATCTCACTATTCTAATACTAACATTAACTAGGAGAACATTTTCCGTTAACTCATTTTCCTAAGCGAATCAAACGCCTAAAAATGAGAAAAATGTTTTCCATGAAACAAATGTAACGTTAGTTTCAAATAGGCGCACAAATTCTTTGTAAATGGATAAAATACTTTGAGGTGGAGAGTATTGGTCACAATTATTTTGTGCTTGTGCTTTGTTTAAGTAATAATGATTATATTAAGTAATAAACTAGTTTAGAAGTTTACAAGTGTCCGTTTTTTTTTTTTCAAATATATAGTCAAAATGATGGGTAAAAGTATCATCATATCGTATCACATCATAAATTATATGCTAATACTTGGTGAACCATCTTCGCTTTTAAACATTTGGTTATGTTTTCGTAATGTCAAACTTACGTAACGATTGAATTTATATAACATATGATCGGGTTCTCGAAATTTTCCTGTTCCTATATATGAACGCTTCATTTGTAGGATACGTCGTGAAAATGGTATCGAGAATCTTATCTTGTGAATTGTGGTGGTCTATTTCGAAAATCAAGCATATTTACTTTTTCCTTTGGATCTACATCCAAATTGACATCGAATATTGGGAAACTTTTTTTGTTCTTTTCCATCTTCACTTTGCTTCTCTCCCACACTTCTCGAAAAGTGGTAGGGCCTTTGAGCATATAGAAATGAAATGATGCAAAATTCATCACTTTTCAAAAAGTTCCTATATCATGTTGGTCATATATTCTATCTCAAAATAATTCGAGGTAATGCTATTAATTAGTGAGAGTTAGGCAAATCATTTAACTAGTGAATTACAGCGATTGGGTAATTTCTTCTTACGATTTTTCCAATTTGTCCGGACCAACAAACGATCAGTCTATTAGACATTTGGAAAATTAACTTATTTTATAGCGATTCACCGTCAATTGAATATTACGGGTTCAATTTCTCCCATTCCTGCTTATAAGACATTAATTTGAGCTTTTGGGCAGGTGGAACAGCTGGAATCATTTTCAATGCGACATAAATGAGACACTGATAAAGGAAACTGGTAAATATTTCGATAATTAAAAGCATGAAATATATATATATATATATCGAAGTATTTCGAGCAAGAAAATCAAAATGATTTATTTGGCTATGAAATGTTTAAACTGCAAAGCGGATGCGATGGTGTCAAGTGGTCTCGCTGCCTTGGGATATGAATACATCAATTTAGGTACGTAATTCAACTTTCTAATTTCTTGGTGATTAATTTGTCTTTCTACTTCTTTTGTAATTCGTTCATATAATTACTAACTATAGTATTATTTAAACAACACTTCGAATTCCCCGAGTTTTCTTATTGCTTTCAGATGACTGTTGGGCTGACCACGACCGCGACGCCGAGGTACGTACATTCCCTTGCTCTCTTGTTGAATTTATCCGTTTACCTCAATTACCACGATATACCTCTAATTAGTATTTATAATAGAATCGAGATCTCGCGATTATTCGAAAATGAAATTAATTAGTGGTGGCATTAATTATAAGCAGGGCAACATGGTGCCAAAAGCTTCAACATTTCCCTCAGGCATGAAGGAACTGGCAGGTTATGTGCACGAGAGAGGTCTCAAGCTTGGGATTTATTCTGATGCAGGGTATATAATCATGCATTTATTTATCAACTCATTATTTCAAAGGGATTTTTATATTCGCGAAGTTTTAATTTATTTTTCCGTGCTAAAAATCTTTGAATCAAAATGGTTGTAAAATTTCCAGAATCCAGACTTGTAGCATGAGAATGCCGGGATCGCTTGGATATGAAGAACAAGATGCCAAAACTTTTGCTTCATGGGTAATTATTTTTTTTCTCACCATTCTTTTGATATTTTCTGTGAAATATATTCCTTATTAATAGTTTCTCCATGCATAAAATCCAGGGTATTGATTATTTGAAATATGACAATTGTGAAAACAGAGGCATCAGCCCCAAGGAAAGGTATGTCGATTCACTGCCTTCATTTATGACGTCATAAATACTACCAATTTTTCTCTTTTTTGGGTTGTTTTTTTTTGTGTACAGATATCCTGTGATGAGCAAAGCATTGCAGAATTCAGGGAGACCCATATTTTTCTCTTTATGTGAGTGGTGAGTTACCTTCAATACCAACAAAGGGTCTTCAAACATTGAACTATATATAAAGATTGGAAAACAAGGTTATTTGAATTTAATCATTTGCTTTGGATTTTCACCTTTGTATTTTTGCTGTGAATGAAGGGGACAGGAAGATCCAGCGACATGGGCACCAAGCATAGGCAACAGTTGGAGAACGACCGGGGACATTCAAGACAATTGGGATAGGTACCTACCAAATCATATATTTTTTAATTAGTGAAGCAAATGATAGTAATTTGTAATTTTTTTACCTAATTAATTTCTTTAATTAAGTTTCTGGGTTTCACGTTTCGTTGGTGTAGCATGACAGCAATTGCTGACCAAAATGATAAATGGGCAGAATATGCTGGACCAGGTGGTTGGAATGGTAAGGATATACACAGAACTTTTTCTAACCTTATATCGAATGAGATGTTCTTGAGATTAAGTAAATATCATTTCTTCTTTCCCTTTCGGCTTTTTTGAAGTGGTGAGAACTAAAGGGTGCTGAAGTTGGAGTGATTGATCAATGGTGTTTTCGATTGAATCAGATCCTGATATGCTTGAAGTAGGAAATGGGGGCATGGCTAAGGAAGAGTACCGCTCTCATTTTAGCATTTGGGCCTTGGTGAAGGTTATGTATCAGTATCAGTATCAGTTGGAGTTCACTTAATTACTCCATGATTTTCTATGTACAATTGTGGGTTTGTGCTAAAGATTTGATTATCAGACTCCCTGTAATTTATGATCAAAGCCCTTTTGGTTTTTTTCCCCTTTCCCTTGTAGGCTCCGCTGTTGATTGGATGTGACATTCGATCCATGGACAGCGCGACGCTTGAGATACTAAGCAATCAAGAAGTCATAGCAATCAATCAAGGTATATCAGTTACTTTTCTGTTTTAGCTTTTGGGTTTGACTTGTAAAGATCAATTCTTATGGTCATGGTAATGCAAAGATTTTACGTTTAACAGATGGGCTGGGAGTTCAGGGGAAAAAGATCAAGAAAGATGGAGATCTGGAGGTATTTAATCTTCATCTTCTTGCTTATACTTGCTTATACTTGGAACACATACATAAGAAAGGGAATTTCTCATTTGTTGGGACAAAAACTGTTAGGTCTGGGCTGGTCCTTTAACCGGTTATAGAGTGGCTGTTGTGCTTTGGAATAGAGGTGCTTCACCAGCAAATATTACTGCATCTTGGACCGACATTGGTCTAAACTCAGCAGCGATCGTCGATGCTCGAGACTTGTGGGAGGTATCATCAAACAATTTTCCATAATGGAAAAAAGGAATTTTAATAGTTTTTTTTCATATTATTCTGATTGTTTTCTTTTCTTGTTATCTTTCCTTCAAATTGCCAGCACGTAACTCTGGCATCTGTTCGAGATCAAATCGCCGCTTGGGTGGATCCTCATGCGTGCAAAATGTTCATCCTCACACTGCAGTATTAGCTTTGATGAATATGCAGTTAAATTTATGCGATGTACTTTATCAGTTTAGTTCTGTTGAAGAAAATGTCGTGAGCATGTAGATTGTCTTGATTGAGAATGCAATTGTTTTCATGAAAAGCAATTGCATCCATTTCCTAGCCAATAAACACTGCTAAGCTGGCTTTTGTGTCCGTATTGATCTTCTTGTTTCATGCACGGTAACAGATTCCTCCAGGAACTTTAAAATGGACAACAAAAGATTTTATTGGCAGACATTGGTTCAAGTTTGGAAGCTTCTGCATATTCTTATGCTACTTAGTATCTTTGGCCGACCGTTTACGGATATTCTCCGGCTGTATCAGACTAACCTTGCACTTCTGGTGGTTAAAAAATACATTTCTCTATGTAAACTGTAATTAGTGAATTTGATACGAGTCCTCTTTCTTTTAACATTAATCTGGGTAAAGCCTTTTGAGGATGTGCTTTTCTGAGGGATAGTTTAGACTGGGTTTCAGGTGGTTTGGTAGAAAGCGGCATTTGACTGCCTTCTGAACGGGAAAGGCCAAAGCTGTTGTGTGCATCAGATAGAGCTTTGCATATATGATTCAAAGTCCACTAGTTCTAGGGCTACTTATCTGTTTTGACTTGTATAAGGGCAAATTCTTGTTTTCATAAATGAATGAAATATGTCTGTAAAAACAAAGAAATTCAAAGCCGTCATATACAACCGTGACTTGCGAGATGGAAACTTAACTTGCCTGTTAAAAAGAGCACATTTAAAACAACAGACCACACGGCAATCCTTGCAAAGCTCGATTTCTTTGTGTGAAAATGAGACATCAGACTGCCCAACAGCACCGCAGTTAGAGTGAGTCATCTCTTCTGACCAAAAAATTCCATTCGGGCACGTCAAGTAAGTGACAATAATAACAGACATTCCGTGAAAGTTTACTAATCATTCCTAGATTGCAATGTTCTTGTTGCTTTCCTCAGGAAATACATCACCATGTAGGTTCAAAGAAGCTAACTGTATCTTACCTTGTGAAATTAGTATGCACCTATTTATAGAGGTTTCGTGCAGAAAAGGAAATACATGAGCTTCTCATGGATAACTTTTCGCTTTCTCTTCCCTTGTTCTTGCTTGTTTTGAGCGCCGTATCAGCAGGTGTAGCAAGTGGTATTAATCAAAACAGGAAGCTCGGTGAATCCAGACCAAGAAGAGATTTGTTAGATAATGGGTTGGGTCGGACTCCGCAGATGGGGTAGGTGTACTTTGCCTTTGCAATATATGAAACATCTTTCGTGGTTCTTTTTCAACGGATAACAATATGACAACAATCCATTAGCATCTTGTGGGATCATTGCAAGAGGAGACAGGAGTTTCTTTGACATATTTATGTGTTTATTATACCAACTCTTAACTCTTCACATGCCGCCTATTCAAGATCTAAGCAAAAAGGAATGTTTGGATAATGCAGATGGAACAATTTTAATCACTTCCCTGGCAAGCTTAATGAGGAGCTCATTCATCAGACAGGTAATTTTATTCAGGATAAAATCTCGCTTTTTTTCCCCTGGTGCGTGCATATGGAAATATTAAGGCATCACGTGGGAGCTACAGTGATCACCGGGCGAATTATCTCCTTCCAGCCCTTAATACATCGATTCTCACATTTCCTTCACTCTTGCAGCCGATGCAATGGTTTCCACCGGGTTGGCAGCTCTGGGATACGAGTACATTAATCTTGGTAGCAACTTTTCCTTTTGGTTTTTGTATGTACCGAAGAAGTGGTAAAATTCTCTATTTTGCCTGACTCTAGCTTTTAATCAGATGACTGTTGGGCTGAACTGAACAGAGATTCTCAGGTACAAAATCACTACACATAAGAGTCATTATATCCTTGCTCGGGTTCTCTTTTGGTGGATCTCGCCATATATTTGACCTTTTAGTCAATAAGTGTGGATTCTTTCTTAATCAGGAAGCTATGACATTAAATTGTTTGGATTCTGATTGTTTCAGCATATTTGCTTGTAAATCCAGAATTACTAACTTATCAGGATGTCAAATAAGTTTTATTCTTGTAATGAGTAATGTTTTCTTGCACCAGCAAGTACTTGGTTTTCACACTCGTGCTCCTTGCAGAGCTAACACAATAGATATTTGCTTAATCTTCGATGTCCTTCTCAGTGATATCATCAGACCGAGTCTCCTGGTCGATTGTTCTTGCCATGGTTGTTACATTTACTCCACAACTATGGCCAGTCCTTAAGATTGTATTGGTCTGGTGCAATGGCTGCAAGAGCCTTGCATGATGCAGCTGCTTCTCAGCGAGCTTGCAAACATGTGTTGATTGCATGATTCAAAATATTTGTGCAGGGGAATTTAGTTCCAAATGCTACTATCTTTCCCTCTGGTATGAAGGCACTGGCCAACTACGTCCATAGCAAGGGTCTCAAGATTGGAATATATGGAGATGCCGGGTACAGACATCTCGTGGATCCTTTAAGTCACATATCTTCCAGATGAACTCATGCTAATTATTGCAGTCTTTGCACAATGAACAAATTCAGCAATGTTCAAGTGAATGCTCACTAGTTTCTTTTTAAGCAAGAGCAAACATAAGCTAATGTCCCATTTTTGTGGATCGCATGTTTTGCATTAAAGTGAGCTGGCAGATTCGCTAAGGCACCTTCAATGAACTCTTACTTGACATTTCCTCTGTTGAAGTCTTGAAGATATAAATAACTGTTGACAGTGATGACATTGGAGATGTTTTAATTACCATGTTGGGATAATGTCGGAGCAAGAGCAGATTAACTAGAGAGAAATTGCTGCAGGTTCTTGAGTTGAGACTTGACACAGAGAGAGAGAGAGAGAGAGAGAGAGAGAGAGAGAGAGAGAAGTTAAGGCTTAGCATTACTCGTCATATGAGCCACCTCACAACAAGCTGTTTTATCTTGACCAGGACATTGACATGTGCAAAGACAATGCCAGGGTCACTCGGCTATGAGGAACAAGATGCCAACACTTTTGCTTCATGGGTATGTATTGTCTGCAAAAATTTCTGCGTAGATGCACAAGAAGTGGCACTCCATCATGGAAAGTTTCTCCCAAAAGCATCCAGTAACCATTGGATTATGATTTGACATCAGATGTTCTAGATATGTTGTTATTGTTAATGGACTTCAATTATTCAAGTGAAAAGCGTTCTCCCACTGTCGCTACAGGCGTGATTAGCAGTTATTTTTATTTTCCTATCTGATCCTTTATTACCCCGAATTTTCTCAGCAACATGATTTTGGCATGTCATCCGTAACTTTACATGGCTCAGTTCAACTCACTCTTCTGCAATCTTTTCTGATATTTTCAATCTTTCAAAACTGAAATTCTACTACATGTCATTCTATATGGTACTTTTGCTCTTGGATTTGAGTACATTTCTCAAATCTTGATTTTATTTTCTTGGTACTTTCCAGACCGTTTATTTTTGTATGAAATTACCTGAAAATTACTAGACTGAACCTCCAGAAAAGTAGTACGCTTGCCAGTGGGGTCCATTCTGAAAATTTATCATCTCTAGTCTCAAATCTTCGAGTGCCAGACATGCATAATCTCACCAATTAATTCCCCCTCTTGGTTTAATTACCGCAGGGGATTGATTACTTGAAGTATGATAACTGTCACAACAACGGGATTAGCCCTCAAGAAAGGTAAAGTAGATATGAATTGATTGTGGAATGTAATCAACAATGACTCGTGAATGAACACTTTTGGAGACTGATTGGCAGATACACAAAGATGAGCAAAGCCCTTCTGGCCACTGGAAGGCCAATCTTCTTTTCTCTGTGCGAATGGTATGTGACCGCATCAAAACCCCGTAATCGCTTTTGGCATACGCATCATCTACGCATGACAGTGTTCAGCAACTGAACAATTATAGTAATTATCAGTCACAAAAGTGTCATGTGACCTCTGTAGGGGCTATGCCGATCCTGCCACTTGGGCACCGAGCATCGGAAATAGTTGGAGAACTACTGGAGACATAAAGGATAACTGGGGAAGGTAACATGTACCAGATCAATTAATTGGTGGACATGAATTCTCAGTTTCGATAATCAGATGAATGAGAAATTACTTTTCTTGTGGAACATAATGAATTTGATTCTTTTCTGTTGCAGTATGATATCGAAGGCTGATCAAAATGATGCTTGGGCATCATATGCTGGACCAGGCGGATGGAACGGTTATAATGATCGATCTTTTCACTTGCAATTAGGATATAAAACTCGATTTGTTTAATGGATGTCCTAACCTCTGGCAACTATTCTGTGGTCTTTTCAGATCCCGACATGCTTGAAGTAGGTAATGGAAATATGACTACAGAAGAATATCGTTGTCACTTTAGCCTTTGGTCTTTAGCAAAGGTAAAAGTTCACCCTACAGAAGAATCGAGTAGACTCTTATTTAAATTACCTTATCGAGAATATGTTTCCTTACAGTTTGTCACTTTACAGGCTCCACTTATCTTAGGTTGCGATATTAGATCCATGGACAATGACACGTTCGAGTTGGTCAGCAACAAGGAGGTCATTGCTGTTAATCAAGGTCTAGAGAAAATAGTTGATATTTATGATTATCTTATGGTCAATGGAAAGGCAAAAAGACGTTACAACTCATGATCCTTGTTTTCATTGAGTGCTTGTGGCAGATGATCTTGGAATTCAAGGCAAGAAGGTGAACAAAACTGGAGATTTAGAGGTGAATCTGCCTAGACGATGCACTAGTTTACAAGGAGCATACAAGATTTTCGCGTTATGATATGCTCACTAGTCCTCTATTTTTTATGTTAATGTGTAGGTTTGGTCGGGTCCCCTGAGTGGCGACAGAGTGGCTGTGCTCCTCATGAATAGAGGGCCTTCTACCGCCACTGTGACTGCCGAATGGAGTGACATTGGTCTAAATTCTTCTGTGATCGTCGATGCTCGTGACTTATGGGAGGTATGAGTGCAAGAATTTCCATTTTCTTTTTCAAGCTTCCACCTGAAACGATATGCTATGAATAAGATCAGAATGTGTCTCTCCGCACTCAAAGCCACATATTACTCAGCCTAACATGAAGATGGCTTGAAAATTTTCAGCATTCGACGACAACCTCAATTCAACTTCAACTGGATGCTACGCTTGATTCTCATACCTGTAAGATGTACGTCCTGACGCCACATTAACGGGCCCTTCAACTGGAACTACAAGTGTGCAACGACTCCTCTAGACATCAGTCAAGACGATGCAATAAAAAAGATAAGTGTTTTCACATATTGAGAAACATTAACTTGTACCTCTATCTGGACAGTATCTAATCTCTATATTTATCTGAATTTCACGCACAACCAAAATGAGATCAAGACAGTCACATTAACTATTCCTAGCAACCAAACTGTAATCAAGAAGCTCAAACCCGTGAAGTCTCAGGTTTTGTTACAAGTTAGGAAGCTAGGAACACAAGGATTTTCTTTTAATTTGTATAAGGGAACTTCTATTAATCAGTGTCGACAGAGGGAAGAAATAGGTTGAGTTGGAAATAATTGCTCATAAACTAAAATAGTCTACTCACTGGAAAAGAGATCCTAGGTTTGGTCACGGTAAAGTCATTTAGTGTCCCACCAAGGCTCATATATGGTTCGGGAACTTTCAAAGCTTATCCCCCCCTAAAAGACTGACCCTATATATGGCGCTAGCGCTTTGTGTTCTTTCTATTCCATGCCATTCCATTCCAGGAAAGGCGGTTGATAATAATCTAGCAAGCAAAGTGGTCGTCGTCTGACCAATTGGCTCGGACACTGGATCGCTCGTGCCCACCCATCCTGTCTTGCCCTACCTAAACGGAACGGCTCTCTTAGTTATGCTACACCGAAAAGGGAACAAAAAAGGACGATTCGTTGTGTCGAACAAGGTCTAATGTATGCCTTGCGAGTTACCACCTGTATGACTACGATGTACAAGGGTCAGCACTAAATGAAACCATGCGGATCGATATGGGAGTCGAACCAATCTCAATGCCAGCTCAATACATAGGCAGGAAAATAGAAAATTTTAGTGTACCAAGCCCGATATGTATGATTCGTAGTAGAATTCAACTTGCATTAGCAAATAAAAACTTGGTATATGTCCCAGTTATATTAACAAAACCTGCCACTTTCACGAAACCTTCCCTAGAAGTACTTGCTGGGAAAAATTTGAAATCAAGCAAAACAGGGAAGAATCAAAAGCTCTGTAGTGTGTACCATGATTCAGAAAGTTGTGTCGTGATGATACCTTGATTAATGGATGTCAAAATTACAATAAGAAGTCCTGCTGAAGTATGTAGATCATATATTTCAAGATATCATTGTTTTAACTCGAGCATTTTTATTTTTCCGAAGCATTATTAAAGATGCAAAATCATTCAAGGCCCAAGCCCAGATCGCCTTTTAGGTTCTCAAACCACAAAGAACAGAAAAACTTTCATAGCTAAGGCACATCCAGTGCATGAGCATGAGTATCCTAAAATGGAATAGAACGTTCTCCAAATCTGTCCCTCAATTCACACTGGATACATAGTTTCAAGTGATGTAACCAAGAAAAGGTGCTACCAAATGGCAGTACAGCCATTAGTAGATTTGTCCTGCCTAAAGCGTTCTTGAATCAATGCAGTCGCAGCTAGACGGGGTGTTTTTACTCAGCCCGAACAAGGACAGCATAAGCTCAAACTAAAAATTTCAGGATCTGAGAAAACTAGGAAGCAAGTCTTGACATCCTCATGACTACTAAAGTTTCTACCAACTGGCTATGGAGGGTATCAGAGTGATGGAGGCAAAACCCTGTAAGAAAACTAAGACCTCATCCACTAATTTAAACAGATCGCTAAGCTTACATTATCATCATCACTTTCTATCTATAGCCCAACCGTACTGGCTTTTCTGACCAGTAAAGTCATTGGAGACAGAGAAAGATCATAAAGAGCCAAACATTATGGTCGCCTTTCGAACAACGAAGTTTATCTTGATATTTCTCCTTCTGTCTACCTGCAACGATGCCGAAGGCGATCCCGGTACAACAGAAGTGTATTGTACATGTAATGGAAGCAGAAATGTTGTCCTCCAAGATTTAGTAAATTCTACACCGATCAGAGGCTGCAACTACTACGCCGTGTCTGATATCCTGGACGACCGCGTCCGTTACGGGCACGCGGCTTGCAATGGGAACCACTCAGCAGGATGATTGCTCCCGGTGCTTGCTCTGTGCCATGACCGCCACACGGTACCATTGCCCGAAGAACACTGGTGATAGATGTTGGATATGCAGACCAGATAAATCCGTTCACCCAATAACAGAGTTGAAGATGATGCTCAAATCGTATGACAACTCAGAAAGTCTCGATTTGAAGCCTTTCTTTTCTCGAGGCAATTTCAAGATGAATAATGAAAACCAAGCAGGGATGTGCTAATTCATCGACGTGCTTGCATCATCTTCGCGACACTTTGAGTTTGATATCGTTAATAACATTTCTCGTTTGTCTCGCGAAAAATAAATGACTTGAATTTTTTTTTAATAATTAATAATTAAAAAAATATTTATATTATTCACGAAATTATATTATTATCGATAATAAAAATATTTTTGGTTAATCAATTATTTCAAGTCATAGAGACTATTATTTTTTATAAAAAAAAAATTCTTTAGATTATTTATTTTTTGGCGAGATTAACGGCTCCCGAGATGGAGAGCGCTGAATGAAAAAACTCACGAAGCTCAGAAAACCGCTTTGGTAAATTTTCGGTTCGAGCAAAGATGATCGCAGCTGCCGGTGCTGGTCACTGCTGGAGCTTGAAGACTGGTTCTTCCGCTCTCCTCCTTCGTCCGCGCTCGTCCTCTTCGCCTCTCGCCAAGACGCTCCCTCCGCGTCCTCGCCTTCCGAGGAACCGCAACCCCATCTCGTGCTCGCGCGGAGGAGACGACGATGCTCCGGCGAGCGGCGGCGGCGGCGGCGGCGGCGGGAGCGCCGGTAGAGCGAAAGGGTCGGGGACCACCGCGAGGGCGCGGCGGCTGCTCAAGATCCGCGAGGAGAAGCGGAGGCGCGAGCACGACCGGCTCCACAGCTACCCGGCGTGGGCCAAGTCAGTCACCCCCCGGTCACGCCGTGCACTTGTTTGATTATATTCCCGTGCGAGTTCGCATTGCTTAAGAGAAAGGTTTGGGTTTTTGTTGGCTGGTGGTGGGGTCGTTTTTTCCCGTTGTCTGCAGGGTTCTGGAGGACGCCTGCAAGGACGACACCGGGCTGCGCGCCCTTCTTGGTGATAGCATCGGCAACCCCGAGCTCATGAGGAGAAGGGTGGGTTTTGTTTTTGGTTTTTTTCTTGCTTCGTCGGTGGTGAAAGCTTGAGTATTTGGAGGATGTTGTTTCTCGTATCTGTCTTTCGGTTGCGATTTCTAGTAATCCACCCATGCTGCTTTCCCTTGTCTCGTGTTGGCATTCAGTTCGAGAACAAAAGTAAAAAAAAAAAAGAAAATTTTTGTTGTGTCTTGTCTTCACTAGAGTGGACAGTGCTGTCAAGTGAATATCTGAGATGATGCTCATATGCTCCAGGTTGAAGAACGAGTGAGAAAGAAGGGTCGAGATTTTAAAAAATCTAAGACTGGATCGGTCCTCGCTTTCAAAGTTAGCTTTAGAGAGTACTCTCTCTCTCTCTCTCTCTCTCTCTCTCTCTCTCTCTATGCATGTCACAATAGGGACCATGTTCATTTAAAACTTGAGCCATTTCAGAATTCATTTGTAACGAATTCCTGCTCAAATCTGTAGTTATGCAGAACCATCATGTCTAGGAGTAAATGATGAGATCCTTATTTTCAAGGAGCACCTGTATTAATTTATTACTGATGTCAGTGCATTTACTCTTGATTGTTCTGGTTGCGGTATCTAGTTTTGCTGTTATTTTTCAGTATTTTCACCTCCAGTTATGTCGTTGCACTTCTATCCCATTTTAATTTTTCCATTCTATTTTACTTTCTAGAGACCATTTATTTCATTTTTCTTTACTATGCTTGCTTAATCACATAAATGAATATACCTGAAGGATGATGCTTTACATTAGTCTGCATGGGGTAATACATTTTTCCCCCTCATAAGTCAGTTTTCTTTGGCACTTATCACTTTAGGTGATTTTCGTTACCTTCTTTCTTGTAATGATTTCTGTATTGTCTAATGTGCAGTTTCAATCCTGCTGAATCTTACATATGGTTTGAACTCTATGGATCTCCATCAGACAGGGATGTTGATCTAATTGGAAGTGTAGGTTAATGGGTTAACATTCTGTTCCTCAGTCTTCTAATATTGGTTGAATCTTATCTGTTTGTTCCTTTGTTTCTTGATGCTTCTACATGTAGCTTGTTTATGAGGACTAGATATGCAGGTTATTCAATCATGGTATGTCATGGGGCGCCTGGGTGCCTTCAATTCTTCTAATATGCAGGTTGGAATACTTCCTTAGATAAATATCTTATTCTACAATATTAGTGACATTATGGGCTTCAATCGTCACCAAGAACAAATCAATATGCTTATATGGGCTCAAGATAAGCTCAAACTGGAGTTTAAAGAACATTACAAGGCCAACCTTTGCTCTTGCCGATACCAAATCAGTGTGTGTGTGTGTGTGTGTGTGTGTGTGAGGCGCTGAAATCACTGGGTAGTTGATTTGCTTAGACTTTACAGAAAATGGCATCCTTTCATTGTTCACCATGACCTTTTTTCCTTATTATGTTTTGGCTGATAGCGTGCTCTTAAGAGAAGTTTCACTAAAATCGTAATTATTGCAGCTGGCAAATATGTCAATGGACTATGATCCTCTCTATGATGCTGACAAGGGTACAAATGCGATGCCATCATCATTCCATGATATCAGTGATGTGGAGTTCCAGGACAACTGGGGTCGTTTTTGGTATGTGGTTTAGAGACGCTTGGGTTTCTTTCTCTACTTTTGTCTCTCTGTGAATATCTTTTCATTGGAAAAGAATTCTTTCAATCTGTCATGCAGGGTAGACCTCGGTACCTCTGATTACTTTGCTGTTGATGTACTCCTAAACTGCTTGACAGTTTTAAGCTCAGAGTAAGTCTCAAGCTACTGGAAGAAACAAGGATTTTTTAAAATTCAAAGGAATCTATTAGCTCTTTCATTTTTGACGTTTAATAAGTTCATTGATCAAGATCTCCATTTCAACAGGTACTTGGGCATTCAACAAATCGTTTTTGGTGGTCGGCGCATGGGTGACTGGGAAGAAGGGATGACCAGTCCAGAGTATGGATATAAGTACTTTAAGATTTGATTTATGTGTGATTATTGTTTAAATGATCCATGCTTTATGTACATTCTTACACCTTGGCTAGAGCACATAGGTAAAAAGTCCTGGTTTTGGAAAGTGGATTTTGATTGCAAGTCAATTGCCGACTAAGAGCATTGGAGTTTTGTTGAAGAGTGGGGAGTCAAATAAGTAATAACATGACGATGCTGGTTCATCTATCCCGAATCCCTGGTTCTTACATGAATATCATTCACTATGGTCTTACTTTCTGAGAAGTTATATGCCTTCGTCCAGTCATTCATTATACATTTCCAGCTTATTCATACTCCAGAATCATCTTGTTTTACCAAAATAAGAAAAACTCTCATTAAACAAGTTTTGGACCAATTTGTCTAGGCAACCCTTCCCTAGTCACTAAGATTTGGGTTTGATATTCATCATAATGATTCACTCTTTATGTAACAAGACTAAATGTATGTAAGTTTTGGACATAACTGTGATTGATAAATATGGCTCGCTTACACTTGAAGTATCATTAGACTAGCATGGATTAAAACCCCGAGGAATACAGCTTCACACGCGTAAATTATTACATAAAGGTCTCAAATCTTCTCCCTGATGTCATTACTGTCTAAAAGCTTTTGTATAAGATAGCAAGTATGTGTGTGTACTTGCACCAGGATTTCTAATTTTCCTATACCATCTCAATAACTGCTCTTGGCCTGGAGAAAAATCTTTCCGTTTTCCTCAAAGACTTCTATCATATATGTTTGTGATAATAAACCCCTAGTTCTATATCTTCGCATCAGACAGAGACATCATTTGCCCCAATATGTACACAGTTAACTTTAGGGTTCACGTATTACTGTCTTCCTTGGTTGACCGGAAGCTTCACAATGTCAGACATGACTCTTTCCTGTTGTCATCCCTCCTATGTTTTGTCATTGTTTCATGGGAACTGCAAAAGGAAAGATAGATGTACTAATCCATCTACTACGTGTAGATTGGTTATTTATAGCACCAAGCAATAATAAGATGAGGTATAAATAAAACCTTTCATACTGTAAGAATCAAAAGGCAACATGTCAACCTTGAAATCATTCCTAGCCACAGCTACTCACAGGATAAGATGTAAGAAGCAAAATAGATGGGAAAGAAATCCAACACAACACATCGGGAGAATTCAGTTGTAGAAGCAAATAAACAACAGAACACACAAGAGTTCAAACGTTTCTCTAGGTATTAGCTTAACTTGATAGGGTTCGGTCATTGTGCTCTGCTTGAAACACCTTAAGAAACATTTTCATTCCTTGGAAAAGCACCTCTGAGAAGGTATAGATGAGAGCCAGATCGTTGACACGGTGAGACAGGACTTAGAGCTATATATTTTTCATATACCATGAGACACAAAGAAGTTGTAATCATGATGACTAAATTTGTGCTCTCTTAACCAGAACCAAGCAGCACGCTGATAGGAAACCATCATCTCGTGATCAACTGTCTTAGGATTGATCCAAAACGCACCATTCATCTTATATGTGCTCATTGCAAATGGAGGAATCCCGATCTCATACTTACATTCTCCATTTGTCAGGACTTTGCTTTCTCTTCTTGGTGGAATAATGGATTCAATTCTCTGATTGTCTTCTGGAATGACACTCACCAGACCTGAACATCAAATTGTCAATTACATTCTTTGAGAAATAAACCTATACGAACTTACAAATAATTGGTAGATCATATTCCAAGTAAACCACGTAAACCGGCTGAAAAAAAATGAACAAATTAAACAAGTACGGAGCACATGCTTGTACTGTTAATCACAATTTAAACGCCTCAAAGCTATATGACGTTCATGTACAAATTAAATATGATCTTCTAGCACATAAGAAAAAGATTACAATGAAGTTGTGTACATCTACTATTTCAAATATGGCCAATGTATGCAGAAAGTTGATCTACAATTAACTTGATTCACCAATAACGGAAAAGATCTTCTAATTACAGCTACACTTCCAAGAAAAACTCAACTGGCAAAAGAACATATGCTAAAAAACATGTTCTGGATCATTTTGATCCGTGAGAAGATAATGCATGATTGAAAAAACTGTAGTTTGTCGATGTCGGCTCCTTAGAAATCAACTACTGTAAGCTAGTGAGCTGGTCTTTCACAAACCAAAGTAATTTGATTGAAACGTCTCATACTGGTTAGGCTATAGACATGATTGCAAGAATTATCATATTGAAGATATGCCAAATTAAACTACAATGTCTATGCATCATTTTGGAAGCCTAGAGTACTTAACCGTATATGGTTAACAGTTATGAATAATCAAATATTATTCGATGAAGAAAACCTATATATGATGAAGATTTTTCAAATATGTGGGTTTTGGAAGATCTGTTGGATATGAAACAAAAGATTCTTACTATATTGAGATTCTTCAGCACATCATGCCTGTTAGCTAAAGATGCACATGATGATGAAATTCCTTAAAGCAGATATTTCTCACAAAATCGGAGAGAAAAATATAGGAACGCCGGAAGGCGAAGATCGAAATAATTGTTAATACTACATCTACAATGTCACTAGAAAGATGGATTAAGTAATAGAGCAGAACTATTAGTTTTAGCGGTTACTTCACTATGGATTATTCAGAAATAGTTGCTTGGACGTATGAACTCAAGATAAGAGTTTCTGAGACACTGCAAGGAAAAGATAGACTCAGCAACAAAACCGAAATTCGTTGCTACATTTACAAACCTACTAGGAAAAATGTTTACCTCTAAAGCTTCATCACGATCATTTGACCAGAAAGTTTGTGGATAAATTACAAGAAATTTAGTACTGATTAGATCGAGTTCTGTTTTGTATCTGGGTTCTACTTGTTAATCAATTGAACCATGTGAAGAACATCTTTGAGTAGTTAAAATGTGCAATTAAGTGCAGTATCCTTTTCATCATTAGGTTGCTTTTCTTAATACACGTTTTCAATGGTTGGAAAGCACTGTTGATTCAAGACGGACTTCAACAACCGAACATGGACTTTCAGTGACCAAACTTTCCTTAACTAATAGCACTGGAAGAACTTTCTTCACCTTTTGTGCATGAACATTAGAGACCCCAAGATTTTGACTCAAAGTTTCCACCAAAGACACCCATGATCATCACACTTAGACATCCACAAGCAGAATTCCAACCTCTCGCGCTTGGACATCCACAAGAAGTCCTTCCAAACAACATATTCATTGTGCTTGCACACTAGATCACGTTTAACTTGCAAAGAAGTTTTCTTATAAATGCTTACTTTATGGAGTGTCCCTTGTCGAGTGACAATTTGTTGTGATCATGCATGTAAGGATATAGACGTTAGGGGAAAAATAAAAATCATTTTTCACTTGAATTGCTTCTTTCATTGCATAAGTTCTATCCTTACCAGGTTTGGCCATTTAATTCAATCAATGTACCAATTTTGACCCTTGAGTAACGGATTCACTTGTGATTTGGACTGAAAAATACTTACTATAATAAATGAGAACCATATATATAAATGGTAAGTGATACGTTTTCATGATGATGGATATTTTTAAGATGGGGGTCGAACTTTTATGATAAAATAGGGTATGCTGGAAATTCCCTTTGTCGTACTCCACCTTAGTTAAGCCAATCAATAGGTTTCAATAGAAGTAGTGTGCTTCATTGATGGATCTTTTAGAAGGAATGAGTTTCAATCTCTTAAGATGTTCAAGCAATATGAGACTCTGATTTCTTTGGAATTCCTCTAAATGTTGAGCTATTATCTGGTTCTATTGTGATGAAGTCCACACATGGCTATTTCTCGTCTTCGATCCACTGGCACTTGGCGCTTGGACAATGAGATCTTTTTGTATTGACAATTAAACTATAGTGGCCATGATTTAAGGCAAGATCAAGTTCAGTTGAGAACCATCAAATGAAATCTTGCTCTTGATTGTTATGATTACAAGATGTAGAGAGAGATCCAAAGTCATTTGATAGAGATCGAGTAGCTATAGCAGATCCTTTTAGAGATCAGAAGTCCATTCCGAGTACACCCATTTGAGTATCAACTGCCCCTAAGCCGGTGGTAGGTCTCATTTTTTTGTTTTCAAAGTGGTAGGTCTCATTCAAAAGTCACTTTAGTGGATGTGCCCCAGTCACTGTGTTCGGTGGTGATGTTGTCATCACTGATGCGCAAGTTGCTTCATTTTGTTTTCAGTGTCTTCAGAAATTAAGAGTTCCACTTTGAACTAAAAAATATTTTATTTCTGACACTGGTGCATTTGAGTTTGCTAAGCGTATTAAGGGAACAACATTGATTCTTAGGCTCTTTATCAGACCTTGGTATGAATCTATTATAGCGTAAGGAAAGAAAGTGATTATAGTTCGAAGCTTGGCTAGCAATTGTACAAATGCCTTCAGCTTCTACAAAGATTCACGAATTCAGAGTCTAGTAAGAATTACTATAGGACTCATTCTCATGCCATGATGGGGTTTAGGCATTAGTCCTTTTTCGACATCTAAATTGGGCATGTCATGGTAAATAACTAGATAGTATGAAGATAATGATCAGTTTGGAAATGTTTTCAATTGCTTGATAGAGTAGGATCCTCAGTGCCTACGCTTACAATACTCCAACTTGATAGTTTCCGCCAATAGATTACAATAGAAGTAGAGAGCTTTCTCGATGAAATATTTGTAGAAGGAATGAATTTCAATCTCTTAAGCAATACGAGGCTTGTGATTTCTTTGTAGCTCATTTGAATGTAGTGCTAGTATCTTGCTCTATTTTGATGTTTTCCACCCATGGCCATCTTTCTTGTCTTCAATCCTCAATAATGAGATGATCTTTTATGGACACATATAATCCTCCATAATGAGATTATCTCTTCTTGACAAATACACTAGAGTGGTGTAATTGAAGGAACAATTAAGATGAGTTGATGACCGTCGAATGAAATCCTGCTCTTGAATGTCATTATATGTGATTAAGGCATTTAATTAAGAGATCAATTTTCATTCTTACAGCTTTTTCAAGGCCTTATTGGTATAAATCTATTGTAGCATCATGAAAGAAAGTGGCTGTGAAAGTGGTCATAGTTCGAAATTTGGCTAGCAGTTGTTCAATGCTTTCAACATATGTTAAGATTTGGAGTTTTTGGCATCTGTTAAGATTTACCAAGTCTATCAAGGACTCATTTTCATGTCATGATAGATCCATACATTTGTCCTTCATCACCATCTAAATTGTGCATGTCATGTTGAATAAATAAATAATATGAAGATGATTGTTCGCTTCAAAAGTTTCTTTATTTTCTGATAGAGTAGGATCCTTAGAGAAAATGCATTTCACCGCTCCATTGGAAATTTCCTTGCCTTACTGTGCTTTAGCTTGGTAGTTTCCACTGATTGTAACGGGTCATATTTAGAAAGTAAAGGAAAGGCCAAGCTTAAGAGGAATGTACTAATTTGTCATCATGAAAATCCAATCTACTCGATTAATGCATTTCACCGCTCCATCAAAAATTTCCTCTGCCCTATGGTGCTCCAGCTTGGATCTCCTATCTGTCCCAAGTCGTCTTGGTAAAGTAAAGGAAATGCCAAGCTTAAGAGGAAAGTACTAATTTGTCGTCATCGAAAACCTAAATCTACTCCATTTTGGTGACTCCATTTATTTAAAAGACCTTATCCGGCAACTGTCTGTGGAGGCGTTGGTTAGAGCAAAGGACTGAAAATCCTTATGTCAGTGTTTCGAATCCAGTTCTAAGCTGGCAAAGGGTCCAAAGGAAAGGTAGCCAGGAGCGATACAGATTTGGAAGTTCAAGTGAAAGAGGAAGCCAAAAAATGTTAGTGCTCTAGCACTAGGGAAAATTGTTCAAAAAATCCTAAACCTATTGCACTTTTGCCAATTCAGTCCTAAACCTTTCAAGTTTGTCAATTGTGTCCTAAACTTTTTCACTTCTTAGTAATTAAGTCCATCCGGTCAATTTTGGCCACCCGGAGTTGACGTGGACGCCAGCTGTCTGGCCACCGCTGACGTGGCAATTTTTAATATTTGTCTAATTTTTTTTTCCTTTTTTTTTCTGGTCTTCTTCCCTCTGACTGGTCTGGCTACCGGCCTCTGGAAAAGCTCGCCCTCACCGGCCACTGGCGAGGGTGAGCCTCGCTGGCCCCTAGTTGGGCCAGGTCAAACCTCACCCAGCAAAGGCGAAGCTGACCTTGCCATCACAACCTAGGCGACGGCGAGGTCGGCCTCGCTGGCCCCTAGCTGAGCCAGGTCAAACCTCGCCCAGCAAAGGCGAGGCTGACCTCGCCATCACGACCCAGGCGACGGCGAGGTTTGCCTCGCCAGATCTAGGCGAGGTCGAACCTCGCCTAGCAAAGGCAAGGCTGACCTCGCCGTCATGACCCAGGCAACATCGAGGTTGGCCTCACCTTGGCTGGGCGAGGCTCGACCTCACCCAGCCAGGGGCCGGCGAGGCTCGCCCTCGCCAGTGGCCGGTGGGGGCGAGCTTCACCAGTGACCGGCGAGGTCAACCTTACCGGCCCTCGCCTCTGGCCGATTCAACCTCACCGAACCGGCCAGAGGGAAGAAGGCTAGAAAAAGAAAAGGAAAGAAATATTAAAAATTGCCATGTGAGCGTTGGCCAAATGCCGGCCAACGTCCATGTCAGCTCCGGGCGGTCAAAATTGGCTGGATGGATTCAATTGGCAAGAAGTGAAAAGGTTTAAAACTCAATTGACAAACTTGAAAGGTTTAAGACTGAATTGATAAAAGTTAGGACTTTTTGGACAATTTTTCCCTAGTACTATAGTGGATCTATATGCTTCTGAGGGTGAAACGAGGTTAAGCCAGCCAAGCAAGCTGGGGATACATCCCCATACTTGTCCTCTTGACTGCAACATAGTGATAGATGTGATACCCCTCCATCTTTATTGAACTGCCCTTTTTGGGGATTCGGATTGCATGAGGAATCCGAGAAGCTGGTGATTGTTGCTCAAATGCAATAGATTTAGTTCATTAAGGTTAATATTTGGAGTATGCATTCTAATAGAAATATTCATCTTTGACATAGCCTATTTGGCTAAATTACCATGAATCATGCACAAAAGTAGCATGTTAGATCGAAGCTTTTCTATCCTCTCATATTACTTGTGATTGGATGGACAATTAATGATTAAAAAAGGCAATGAAATGGATTCACAGTTGACTCCTGCCGGCTTGGTCTTGGTGTGGAAATCACATCTCGAGTCGAGCCTATCTAAGCCTCTTTGCTTGGGTGGATTGGCCCAAAGTTGGATAGGGTCAAGACGTAGCCAGGCTAGCAGAGGTGATAGGTTGATTTGCACCTCTGGGCGAAGCAGCCTAAAATGACCATTGTATCATCCTCCTTTCCAATCTGAGCCTACAAAGCCGCCCGGGGAATCTTCTTTCCGATGAATCTTCAAGCCTACCTCTTGATGAGGAGAGAATCTTCTTTAAACCTTGGAACCGATGGAAGTCTGCTCATTAGTAATACTCCTTGATGAATGGGAGAAAAGATGTCTTCCTTGCCATGGTGCAGTTGAGTTTCTAGATGGTGGACCTTCGTTGATAGTCCAATTGCAATAGTTGTGAAGGACCATCTTATTAGATGGACTTTCTCAAGCATTGAAAAATGTTCAATGCCATTCATAACAATTGGGATCGTTTCGTTTGTTTATATATCTTAAAAATAGTTCGTCGGAACCAGATTTTTGTTAATTGTCTCTTTTTCTCCTTTCATGTTCACCTGAGTTGGATCAAACCCTATCTTGGAACTCTACTACAAGAGTTGGTACTTGTCTAGGACTTAATCTTAGCCAAATGGCCAAGAAAGGAGTTTCTGTCATAGGTCACAGCTTATATTCCATGGATCTTCACGTCCACTGCGAAATGTTGTCCCTCGGGATCGGCGATTTCTGTTTTCTTTCTCAATTCAGTCACCGCCGCCCGAAATTGGTATTCCAATATCTAGGTGATGTTCTTTCTAGCGCGCACTTATGAAAAATCCCCACCTAGGTTCGTTTCCAGGTGCATTAACATCGTAGATTAGCTAACCAGGTCACAAGCTTTACACAAGAAAGTCGCGCACAAACGAAGAACAAGAACAAATATGGATTCGAGGAACAAGGAGGAGAAGGTTGTGATATAGCGGGAATGCTCGGAACAGACCTTGAGGAGACCACGATAGCCTGTGGTAAGTAAGGAAAGATGCAGATAATTCCTTGCGGTTTCTCATCACGGGTATCTGGAGGATCGGGTACCTAAAAGCGTCAACGTCAATCAATGATCTTTGGTCGGCATTAAGCTGATCTTTCCTTTAGTTAAAGAAGAAAGGGATAGATCAGATAGATCTATCAATTCAGCAGCTGTTTTGTCCCCTTTAATTCTCTTGACAATTCAGGAAAAGCATTAGCATACCAAGCAATGGCCAACCAACTGTGAGGCGTGAGGTCGGTGCTCCGGAAAGTTGTCAAGCCAGGATACTTCCGTGCCAGTTCTTTGATCTAGTCCCGAAACGATTTCATCATGTACAAAATCAGATTTGTTTAGGGCCCTTAAAGATCGGTTTCAATCCGATCTAGGAATTGAATGCGAAATTCCCAAAACACAAGGACGAATTTACCTTCTCAGTTAGGGGGAGTCGGGAATACGGGTTCACGATCTCATTGTATTGGCAGTACAGTTCGCCGTGATACTCTTCGACTCGTTCCGAGCCTTCTCGCCTAGCAAATGCGTTGTCTGAACGCCCCCAAAAAATATTGAAAAATAAAAAGAATGGAGAACACTATCAGCGAATTTTTCGGCGAAATAAAATTGTGATTAAGCTAGGTCATCTGGAATTTGCCAAAAATTTGAAAGAGCTTACTTGAGTCATTGCTTGGGGTGCCTGAGCTGCTCTTGCTTCCATCACTGCTCACGGTCTCGCGCTCGGACTCAGTTGATGACGACCCCTCTCCAGACCTCCTTCAAATAGTAAAAGCATTCGACTAAATAATCGGCTGTGTTTGAATCGTCGTCATGTTGAACCCGAAACGTTAATCTTTCGACATTTTATGATCTCTAAATACGAAGGAAGCATTAAAGCCATATAACAATGTATCTCAATTCCAAGAACTGAATTACTGAATGATTGAGGCAGTTTATCGTACTTGGAAGATTTGAGATCGAGACACGGCTCAGCGAGCTTCTTGTAAGTGAAGATTTGCATTGCTGATAAGGAAGGGAAATAGTATTGCACCACGGACTCTCCGTTAGGCAGTACGATCGGGACTCCGGCGCCGTAAGCGCTCCACTCCTCGTAAGCTTTCCACAAATCTCTTAGGTGAAACGAGTCCACCATGTCTTTCTCTTGCTCTTGTGACCCCTCATTGCTTGCGTTTTCCACATTGGGCTGTGAACGAAATAATAAACCAAACGTCAAGAAGAAAGAAGTGGAAATTATGGTAGAAAATCAACATGACCGCACCGGATTCATGTGAGCCCGATTCATCATTACCATCAATTCATCAAAATCAGGAGTTACGATGCAATGGGCTCACATGAGTGCGCATTTTACTGTGCACAAAAATCAAGATCGGGCGCTTCTACGATCTTTGAGGACCATGGTTGTTCGAGGTTGATAGCCGTTGGATAACAAAAGATAGATCTCAATCGCCTTTGTCTATCGCAAGACTTTGCATAGAACATAAAAGGCCTCTATCGAGATCACGGTGACCATACGACGACCACAAAACGAGTAACGAGAGAAGGACCAAAACCTTCTCAGTACTCATCCTAAAAGTATATGGAAATTACCCAAGAAACGGAAAATTGGTTTCACTATTTTTTTTGTGTCTAAGAATTATTTGATGAGGACGTACAATTTTCCAAAACTGAATTTTTAGTGTCATTCTCCTGAAAGGAATAATGATAGGAGACCGGACTTGGTTTTCTAGGCATTTTTTTTCAACCTCGACTCTTTTTCGTAATGGGTCGAACTGAATTATTAAGTGGTAGGAGGCAGAATCGGGTTAAACCGGTCCAATTAGACCAATCCTTGATTGAGCCAACTGAACCGCCATGATGAACTGAATAATCTATTCATCTCCCATCAAGTGAAAATTGGATTAACAAGTGGGGTAGGTGGCAAAATCGGGTTAAACCGGTCCAAAATCAGACTGATCCCTGATCGAGCCAATTGAGCCGACATGACGTACGGAATAATCCATTCATCCCCCATCAAGTGAAAAATGGATTAATAAGTGGGTAGGTGGCAAAATCGGGTTAAACCGGTTCAAAATCAGACCGATCCGTCATCGAGCCAATTGAACCGACATGACGTACTGAGTAATCTGTTCATCCCCCGTCAAGTGAAAACGAGATCTAAGTCCCAATGACATTAGTATCGTATCGGATGAATTTGGAAAACCAAAAATTCCTTTCTAGTCTCCCAGATGAAATTAAAAGAAAACGGAGGAAATGACAAAAAAAAAGTCCTTTTCTTTTACAGAAAAAGAAAAAGGCAAAAAACAGAGAGAAATATGAAGAGAAGTACCCTGGGGACCTCCTTGACTGCAACACTGGGTATCACAGAGTAAGGAACGCACTCCATGTTTGTCCAGGACCTCAATTCTGGAACCAGCCTCAAGTCCCACCTTGATGGTGCCATTCTCTCTCTCTCTCTTCTTTCTTTCTCTTCTATCTCTCTCTCTCTAGAAATGAGAGAACTAGTAGAAGTGCAATGGTTTGACAAAGAGAAACTGCACTTCAAGCCTTAGTGTTCACAAAAAAACAAAGACAAGAGGATTAGCAATTTCCGGAGAGCCATAATTAATGCCCAAAACCCGAAACCCGAAACCCATCAAAGATTTTATCCATCAAAACTCAAAGTCTCAACCCTCAGTTTCCCTTTTCTTGTACTTACCCATTAATCATCATTTTTCCCTTTCATGCCTCTCTCCACATATGGCAAAACAGAGCATACCAACCTAATCCTCCTCAAATGGCAGGCTGACCACACCCCAACCCCCTTTGTCAGTTTCCTTCCTTAAAATTGCTGGATGGTTAAATTCAAAAGTTTTGGAAATTAGGATGTAATTACATGAAATCAGTGTTGTTTTTTAGTGTTTTTTGGGGCTGTATGCTTGTGTTTATGATGGTGGGTTGCTGAAGTTGGTGCATGTGCGGATTTCCCAATTTCACATGGAATCCAGCATTAAGTACTTTGTAATTAGTGAAGGGAGGCATGCATGCATCCCACTTGTTAAGAGAAAGAGGACTCTAATTAAGAGACCATGGAGCAGTTACGCTTCCTTTTTCTCCTTTTCCTTTCTGTTCTTTCCTTTTCTCGATGAGCCTTAAAACCGAAAGCAACAAATTTTGTCGGCTTCTTCTTTACTCAGAAAGAATCAAATTTATGCACCCGCCTTTTCATAAAAAAATTTCCGCCAAGCAAGTGGGCGCCCACGGGATTTCAAAGCGAGCAGGAGTTGAAAATCGAAATTTAAAAATAAAATAAAAATTCTAATAGTTTGCCATAATCCGGAGTATATTAATTATTATTACCTTATGACTTCTGACGTTAATGAGCATTTTCCGAAATTAACATGCATTTACGTCACATAGTAGTCAACGATTTTAATTAACTACAAAACAAATATTATTCAAGGTTATAATAGCCCCCAGCCTCCCTTGTTCCTCCTGAGGAGTCACGAGGAGTGGTCTATATCCGGAAAATACTCATTTATTGTCCATTATCACATTTTTTGTGAATATATGAGACTTGTATTGGACTCGAGATCCAATTAATTTTTAAAATTATATTAACTTCCTCTTTCACATGAATGGATTATTGAGTCCAAAAGAAAATTTTAATATTCTCTTTTAAAACAAACCATGTGGATACGTGTTATGTTATTCCATCGATCATGAAATCAAATTAACGTCTCGGCATAGTTATTATGGTGTCACACTCCGACTCCTATATATATAATATATATATATATGATAAAAGAGTGAGTTGGTTACCAAATCAGAATTTCGAAAATCCTATGTTAGAATGTTTTGTAATTGTGTGTGTCTATATATATCTACTCAACTAAACCCAACAAAAATCCTCTCGGATATATACACAACTATCAAAGCTCACACCCAAAAACTGACTACCAAAAATTCCTTTTTGATGTGCTATTGTCCTGCTAATTGTTAGCTAAAAATTTTGAAAAAGATTTGACATGGATGATATGGGCAATCACACTTCAGTGAATTATATAAATCTCTTCTAACCAAATCAAACATTTTCTATGCATATTCATAAGACAATATCAAAGCTTATTTATACTAAATTTGGTATGTAATATTTTTACGAGATGAAAATGAGTTTTATCACTTTAATATAACCACATACATATAAGAAGTACTCATTCGATAGATAATATTAAGTAAACATCAATAGTTCAATACATTGATCAATATCATGCTCAATATCAAATTATGGTCACATTTATCACTCGTGACAAGGCTTACCAAGATTCAAAATAACTAGGTCTCCACCTACATCAGCCAATAATTCGTGTTAGGATGCACTTGTGAGTTGTGTTCCAAAAGTCCCATATCGGAGAAGTGATGTAGTATGGAGCAGTTAATATATTATAGTTAGCTCATAACTCATTGGCTTGAGCTTTTAAATGAAGGTAGGTTCAATTGGATATATTGACGGGCTCAGACTTGGGCTTCTTCTTAGCGATCTTCCAAAGTGAAGGTATTGAGCTTTTGTTGCGTGCTTCCAACAAATAGTATCAGATCCGATGGTTAGTTGGTAGCCCACTCCCAATGTGTATTGGTTTTTGGTGAACATCTAAAGGAAGGAATTTGGTAACTAAAACTAATGCAATTTCCGAGCATGAAGGATGCCAGAATTAGGGGGCATACTTAACACTAGCTCACACGTGAGATGGAGATTATTAGGATGTACGTGTGAGTTGTGTTATAAAAGTTTCACATTAGAGAAGTGACATGACTAATTGGTCCATAACTCTTTGGCTGAACCTTTTTAGTGAAGATAGGTCTAACTGGATATATTAACGAGCTCGAACTTGGGCTCTCTCTTGGCGATCTCTTCAGGTGAAGGTATCGAGCTTCTGTTGCGCACTCCCAACAATTCGACCCAGAAAGATATCTTGAGAATGGTATTAATACCAATAAACCTTCGATGGGTTTTGAAAAGAATGATGATGAGCATCAAACTACTAACATCATCCTCCAATAACCTACAAAGTCAATCTGAAATCCATCTCATAAATCGTTTTAAAAACCAAGTGTGACCTTTCACAAATCAATTCATTAGGTAGAACACTCTTCATAAGACATTTCCCAAACCATTTCTAAATTCATTTCGTTAACAAATTCACTGGATAAGTATGTATAACCTTTCACAATACTTTTCATACGACGTTTCCTAAACCATTTACAAATAACCAAAAGGTTGTAAATGCCCGATCCGGCTTTATGCAACAAATATGCTCTTCTATAACTCATAATATGTCGAATTTCTATTACTTTCAAGATATGAGTTTACAATTAAAATGAAACCATCACAACCCCAAGCAAGATGTTAAAATGGGTTTGCAAGAACAGATCATTTAGTCTTTTTAATGTAAGATTTTGCTCAGAGGTGTGTGAGTGGTATTTGCAAGATATGATAATGTAAGTGATCATTAAATCAAAAGTAATGCATATTTTTGGTATTTTCCCTATTATTACTATTTTCTGATATTATCAAAAGGTTCATTAAGGAGGCTTGCCTTCTCCACAACCTGTCTTAGCTGTGTTGATCTTAGCTGATATCTGTGTGACAGGTGACACATTACAGCAAGTTGATTTCACTACGTTTGGGCTATCACAATGTAGGTTATCATAGGTTAAAAGACAACGAGAATCTATAGACAAAAGAGGCCGATCATTTGTTTTCTTTAAGCTTGGATTTGAAAGAGCTCAATCATGGTAAGGTCAAAACCCACTACGGCAAAAGAACACGACTGGAGCGTGCCGAGCTCACAACACAGATTCACCTGGCAACCCTTCTCAAATTCAGTTGATTAATTCATACTACCTCCGCCGCAAGTTTCAGATCTCCATTAACACTGAAATTACAGTAATTTCACCGATTTGCAAGGTGCCCTTAGCTTTCGGGATGGAGAAAGTAAAAGCTTCCAAGAAGTATTCGACAGATGGATTCATAATGCAACTTTTTAACAATTGAACGTCTTCCAACAAATGATCATTTGACAATTTTGTGATTCCGTATCCCAAAAAAAAAAAAGAATCGAAATAAATACACGCTCACTCGTGGCTAAAACTTACAAACTGAGCTTCACGATGGGTTAGTGTGAATATTGACTGCTTGTCTTCACTGCCAAAGCACATCCACTAGCCACGATGTGCCGGCGCAAAAACCACCAGGCACTTGTGCGAAAGTACTTGGCCATCCACTCCAGTTAAGGTAGTTATATTAGAGTGAGGTTAATGCTTCCACATTCGTATATGCACTGTGAAATGGGCAAATAAGTATCATCGACCCGTACCCGCTGCTTGACCATGAGGTGATCAATCCCTTGGAAGAATCAGATTCACTTGCTTCAAGATACATGGGGAATGTATCCTACATAAAGCCCGTGAGTGAAAATCTACTCGGCTGATCTGCATTCGTCAAACAGCTTCAAGAGCTAGACTCAACTCATGCGCGGACTTTGCAACAGATCCCCCTCTTCTATGAACAAAGAAAATCAGAACATCATCACTTCTATGGTTTCTTTAGAAGCATAAAACAAGGTCTTCAGAAAAGGCAAATTAAAATGAACCTGGTAAGAGCAGGCAAGCAGCGTTTAACTCTTTCAAGCTCAATGTAGCAGAGGTTATAACGTTCCAACCTGTGCCAATCAACCAGTATTGCCGTCAAGTTAGTTTTTGGATCAAAATTCAATCCAAGGACGTCCAAGAACTGAACAAGATGATACTGATCACACCTTTGTTCGGCTTCAATATCAACACCAACCGGTGTCGATGCCAATACTGCTGAATAAACCATGGAACCGAATACTCTGACCAGTTTGAGAAGTATGTCCAAAGAGATGCTCAAATACCTGTACAGTGAGAAGCTTTTAGAAAAATGGAATGTCTTTGGAACATAAAAGAGGCAAAAGAAGAGCATGATCTATCAAACAAAAGAAGACTGCACATAAAGAGCATAACGTCAGCCCCTTCTTTTGACCCTGTGCCACATTCAACATGAATGCAGAATTACATCTGTCTAATTAAAGCTACATATCTCCAGAAAGATAAAAGTGAACGCACTATAATAGCTACAATGCCAATGAAGTGTATGATCAAAGCTTTTGATGCTTCACCAATCACAAGAAACGAGGATGTTCTTTTACTGTTAGTAGGCAGGAAATAAAAATACAACTTCACTCAGAATAAGTGTAGAATGCAAAGTTGCAGCTTGCTCTCAACAAAGTCTTCATGTTTTAATGAATAACCCAATTGTCACTGTAATTTTGGCCAAACACTAGCTATAGAAATGCATCTGTTCAACATGAGTTGAGCTTGGTGATTACATGCCTCAAAGTAACAGTCCCAGGAAAAGTCATTTCATCAGATACAGTCATGATCATGGCATCTAATGTTCTGGATACCTTCACATATTAAAAAATTGGGATAAGTGCACTACAAGTCCTAAAACTTGTCACAAAAGTGCATTTGAGTCCTAAAACTTGCAAAAAGTTCATTTGAGTCCTAAAACTTGTCAAAATGGTTCATTTGAGTCCTAAAGTTAACACCGTTAGATTTACTAACGGAAACGCCGACGTGTCATTTTTAATTATTTTTCTTGAGACACGTGGCGCCACGTCAGCAAAAATAAAAATAGAAAAAGCTGTAAAAAAACAGAACCGGCGGTGGCCAAGCCCGGCGGCCACCGGCAGTGGCCGGTGGAGGTCACCTGGGCCTTCCCGAAGCCCGGCGACCCTCGCCGGCCCCGGGCGAGTCCCCAGCAAGGGCCGCGACCCCCGCTCAGATCTGGGGCGAGGGTCGCGCCCTCCCCCAGATCGAGGGTCGCCGGCCCTCGCCGGGGACCCGCGATCTGGGGGAGGGCGCGACCCTCGCCCCAGATCTGAGCGAGGGTCGCCGGCCCTCGCCTGGGGCCAGCGGAGGTCGCCTGGGCCTTCCCGACCCTCCCCCAGATCGAGGGTCGCCGGCCCTCGCCGGGGACTCGCCCGGGGCCGGCGAGGGTCGCCGGGCTTCGGGAAGGCCCAAGCGACATCCGCCGGTCCCTCCCGGTGGCTGTGGCGACGGCCACCGCCGGTTCTGTTTTTTTTTTTTTTTTCCTTTTTTTGGTTTTTTACAGCTTTTTCTATTTTTATTTTTATTTTTGCTGACGTGGCGCCACGTGTCTCAAGAAAAATAATTAAAAATGACACGTCAGCGCCACGTCAGCGTTTTCCGTTAGTAAATCTAACGGTGTTAACTTTAGGACTCAAATGAACCATTTTGACAAGTTTTAGGACTCAAATGAACTTTTTGCAAGTTTTAGGACTCAAATGCACTTTTGTGACAAGTTTTAGGACTTGTGGTGCACTTGTCCCTAAAAATTTATAGCTGAAGAGCGAGAAATAAATTATCAGGGATAGAAAAATGAAAAGAAGCTGCAGCAGCCAAAAATCGCAGCATCAAAGTCTGCAACAAGAATCTAGCTGAATGTAAATGTCTACGGCAAGAAAAAACCGTTTTGACAATACAAAGATGAGGAGTAAAGTAGCTACCAAAGAATCATTAAGTACTTGTAACTCACCTATCCAGGTCACTCTCGAGAAGTCCATTCAGAAGGGGCAAAAGACAAGTGAAAATATCCAGAGTAACCATGTCAATTTTCTCTGTCACTATACTAACTACATCAGCAAGCACCTGCAGTTTAGGGCATAGAGAAAGTGGTTAACACAAGGATACTGATTAAGACCTCATGAGGCAATCCATGTTCCTTCAAGGGCAAGAAAGTTAAAACACTATAGAGTCACCGGAAAGCTACTCACAGAATTATCAGCCATCTTCTCCATAGCACCAATAGCCCCTTTAATATCCTTTCTCCCCCAGAATCCATTGACAACCTACCACATAATTTACAGAAGATGATCGTCGCATTTAATGACAAGATGACATCATCGCAATGCTATGCTCATGAGCTTATATTATTTTCGCGTCATGACCACTGGGATCTCCAGATGATGACATTCCACCATGCAAGTCCATCCATACTACCATAGAACAGACCATCACATTCAAGATATGAAGCCAACTAAATAATAGAAAAATAAAATAAAATATCATCAATAAATTATATACTAGAATGCAATTTTAATATAAAAGACAAAATGAATTAACAACTTCTTTTTGGAGGACATCGCTCAACTTGCTGAATAAGGGGAGATGAGCTCATACTACTCACATCCTAACCTTTAAATCTCCATCTCTATCATGGCCTCTAAGTTAAGCATTCAAGCAGAGAAAGATAGTCACCACAAGTTGTTCTTAGCAATTTGAGAAATATGAGAAAATGTCCTATTGATTAAGCATCTGCAGATTGCAGATCTGAAAGTGAAAAGCATTTTCTAAGGTGTTAGATTCCCACTATGCCCCATCCATCTAACTTCCAGCCTTATACAGCTACTGACATGACCAAGATTGACTAGTGCATAAGCTGTTGTTCACCAAAAACATAGAGAACACAACCACATTATAACTTTCAAAAACTTAAGTGTAAATAGCTATTTAAATCATGACAGTTATCTATAAGAAGTACCTGCAACTTGGCTAACCGAGACTGCATGGAGCCAACAAACTGGTCATGACGCTCCATCACATCTGCGATGGCATCCTCATCACTAGCAGAAACTGTTTCCTTCTCAGCAGACGGTCTATGTCCTCTCTGTTTCACAACAGAGTTGTCAAAGACAAACCCAAATAATATTCACACAAGGAGACCAAATGGCAGCTTTTAAGAGCATCATCGCATGGCTATAAGCACCATTGTCCAAACCATAGCTTTGTATTCCCCAAACTGGACTTCAGCCCAAGAAAACCAGACAAAAGTGATTGGTGCCCGCAACAAAAAGGCAATATCTTTGTCCACTCGTTGTTTTATCCACCACCAAGAGTCACAGTGACAAATTCAAAAACAGACAAATCAATTATAGGAATCCTTCTTGGTATCAGAACTCACATGTATGCAACTACAGAGGTGCACTTGCTCAAAAAAAAGAAAAAAGAATGGATTGTTGCTCCATTCTTGCATGCAATGACATTTATTCCATGATAACAAATAACATGTTGAAATTTGTCAGAAGGAAATACAAAACATTGAAAGAGAAGGCCAGTGAAAAACTAGTGCATTTCCTTACCATACTAAAAGGCAGCCCATTTACACCAGGCCCCGCTCTTGAGGTAATACTGGGTGTAGGTCCATCAATATTAATTTTCTCTCTTTTCTCCCAATTAACAAAAGGGGAACGCATTCGCCCTAGATATTGAAAAGATTATATGAGCAAACCTCCTATGATGCCCAAACACAAAATAATTTATGAAAATGGGGTGTACCTCCCCGTTGTCCATCCGCAAAAAGTTGTGCTCTGTTTGCTTTCTGCATGCGAGACTCATCTACAACAAAAGATTGGATATTGAGAATCATTCTTTAATGAAAAAAAATGCACATTTGCAAATCCAATCTTCGATAAATCCAAATAGTTGGAAGCCAAACATTCCAGCTTTATAATAGGCAAATTGTGAACATTATGAAGGTGAAACCCAACAAATACATAAGAGTTTTCACTTTGCCAGTAGTTGGCAATAAATTTCACAGAGACCATCAATTATTGCATTGAGGGTGGAAAGAATTCTTCCAACTGTGATTCCTTACGACTCATCTCAGTATATGATGCTCAACTCCTTCATTGAATAGCTTTTTCGTAGTTCAAGGAGTCTAACCAGATCCTAGGCTTTAGAGGGTAAACAAACTCAAAATTTTTTTACCAAGTTGCCACCCTTGGAACAAAATATGAATTTCTAAGAGATGTTAATATAGTTGCTCACTACTATTTCTGCACCCTTACAATGCACATGATATATCAGTAAAATGCATTAATCAACTTTGCCAGACTAATACTACTCTCTATTACGAGGATCTTCTATTCACCTATCCGGTCCTTCATTGTGCATTTACCAAATAATACTAAGGTGCATAATTTCCTCATTTTGCATTACTCTACCTCCCTCCTAAAATTCTTATCTTCAAAACGGTCCTATTGATGCTCAGAACAGGTCCATACCAAGTTGGAAGCAATTCTCTGGCAATAAAATCCAGCAAAACTGGCATACCATTGTGGAGCAGGCAACTAAAAGTGAAAGGTGACTTGAAGACAAGAATCAATATTCTACAACTATCGGCTGCAATTAATATCAGAAAGCATTCTTCTTCCAATAATTGAACACATACAATTTTCACGCTGGTAATTAGCCGGTGCATCCATTACTGAACTTGCGTCGTGCTTGCTTGGAAAACCAGACGAATCATCCATTGTGTTTCTTTCAGCGGTAGACAAGCCTTGGGCTGGGGCTCTCACTACAGAGAAGATGTTCCTATTTGCAATGTTGCCCGATGAACTGGGATTTGGGCCAGCTAATTCAGATTGACCTGAGACCGTTGGCTGATCTAATTCGTCTCTGCCATTTGAGAGCTTTCGTAATTCAATTGATTTTGACTGCAAAGAAAATGGCATCGTTCTTGAAGCAAGATCAACTTCTTTTTTGGATTCAGCAGCCAGTTCTGATCTAGCATCAGTTCTAGGGACAATGACGGGTGCGATATCTGATTTACTGAAGCTAGGAAGACCGATTGTAGCATTGGCCTTCGCAGTATTCCTCCTTGCAGCTGCTGCGCTCTGAGCTGTCACTGAGGTGGCTGGAGCCACCTTTGAACCAGCATTTACATTGACCCTTTGAGGAGTACCAGGTACACTTCCTGTGGCTTTAGGCATATTCAGAGCAAGAAAATTGTCATATTCTGGACTCCATTCCAGATGCAAAAGCAATATATAAAAGAAACCAAAAAGGAAAAATAGATGTCTTACATGCCAAACTTTTCTGCTCCTTAACAGGGTCTGAATTTTGAGAAACCGACAATCTCCCAAGGGACTTTGTTTCCTTCACTAAAGAATCTGAAATTTGGGAAACTGATAACCTCCCTGAACTGGCCTTAACAGTATTCTCATTCAGTACAGAGAGATTCCCAACTGTAGGAGCTTTAGATTCAGGAGGTACTTTAAATCGGTTATTGCCAACAGCATACGGCTCTAGGCGCTGAAAAGAGGTAAAAGAAAGGACATCATTTATAATCTCAAATATGACATAGGAAGCAACTATAGACTACAGCACACAAAGTAGGTGCAACTTACCGAGATGTCAACAACCCAAACACCAACACAACTTTGATTAAATGAGCAGCCGAGAAGCTTTCCCTCGTGCACATTAAGGTCTGACAATCTGGACCATCCTACATCTACGGTGTCATGGCACAGTATTGGTTCCCAGGAAAGAACCTATGAAGAAACATGGAACAAAGGAATTAATAATGAACCATGTACCGTTTCATTGCAACATAAAATTATCGCCACTTTTACCTTAAGATTTTCATGCAATCCACAAAGGAGGGTCCTTCCATCAGGATTGAATGTCAAACAACGTACTCCAGTGCTCTGTCATAATATTGGGATGTCATGTGGTTCGTAAGAATGCCAAACTAAAGACGCATCGATAATTTACTACCTCTTTAGATACCAAAAACTCAGTCAGACAAAACTCTTACCTCGGGTCCGCTGGAACCAATCAGTTCAAAGGTCTCGAGGTCCCAAAATTTTACAGTCCTATCAGCGGAACCTGTAAAACAGCCAGACCATACAAACAATTAGTGGAAACATAAAGAGATATATTGCATTGAGTAAAATTGCAGTAGAATGGTAACTCACCTGTTGCCAGTAAAAACTCATGGGGATGGAAATCTATACACTGAACTTGGCCCTCATGAAACTTAAAATCATGTAATAGCTTTCCAGCCGTCAGATCCCAGAGCTATTAATTACATTAAGAGATTTAATCAGCATAAATTGTTAAGCAACCATAATAAAAATATAGATAACATCACTTGCTCCAATCAACATGGTCCAAATCATCTTCGCAACTCAGGCAATCATGATAAATGAGACTCTAAATCACAGTTCCTTGCACAAAACCATGTATTCATTACTCACAAGGAACTGCAGTCCCTGTTCCCTAATCCACAACTAGATATTATGATAACCCAAAGAATGATATAGGTTCTAGGTATTTGTAATTGTTTCGGAGCTATCCAATTATGTACCTAATGTAGGTCTAGTCATCTGTCCAATGTCAGTGTTGCAACCAAAACCTACAAATTTCATCAGCAAGGGGCAAGTGTACTTTTTTTTTCAAAGAATCTACGCTTGCTTCACTATAGTGACAAATCACACCAGACGCCAGATGTGCATTTGGCCCTATTAAAAACATGTAAACGAGCCTGTACCGTAGCACCAGGTAACAACTATAAAGCCTCCACAATCATCGTCCAATTACCACATCCAGGGATTAAGCTGCTTCTTAAGCATTACCAGAAGAAGACACCTAGATGAATGATTTCATCATACTTTATCACATTAACTATTTTCACAAACAATCTATAGATTAAAGAAAAATTATAACCTTCACAGTGTTGTCCTCTCCACCAGAAACTACCCAACGACCATCAGGAGTAAACCTAATTGCATTGACCCCGCGAGTGTGGCCTTTGTAAGTGTGGATACACCCCTTTTTCCTGATATCCCATATTTTTAAGTTCGTGTCAAGAGAACCAGATGCAAAGAACTCCCCAAAAGGATGGAAGTCCACTGATATGCAATTAGATCTATGACCAGTAAGAGTCCGAACAACTGCAAAGAAAATCACATTACAACTCGTTGTTACACATCAATGCGATGAGAAAAAAAAAAAGCAAAGACGTGTTTTCTAAGATATAACTAGTAGATTACGAGTTTGAAATGAGCATACTCTTTGCCTCTTCTAAATCCCAAAGCTTGATTGTACCACTTGCTGCTCCCGCAGCTACAACCACCTCCGAAGAATCAAAACTCACTGAATCGATTCCACTGCTATGTCCAGACAAGCTCTGAACACACGAAATGAATATTAGACCAGCTGTATCAATCAAAGGCAGATTCTAATTAGCATGGCCACTGCTCCAAGCAAATTGATGATTTATTGATGGGTCAGTTTCTAGGGTACCCAGATCCTTTTATCTGAAGAAAGCAATCATAAAAAACCTCTTCCCACTGAGAAAAAAGATGAACTACCGACAATACCTATTGCTCAGAGGAACTCAAATCCATAAGCAGCCAGATCACTGGTAAGGGATTTCAAATTTGCTCAAACGTGTCTTATTCTTAATTGACCATCAGAAACTCGAAAGCCCACAATTCACTTGGTTACTGGATGAGGCATAAAAGAAACATACTGTAGTCACATTCTGTATATCATGACTGTGTCAAGACGAGGGAGTATAAATATCACATCTCATCAAAGGAAAATGGCAACAACAGCAGCACAAGGTACACGCCACCATCAATTAGGCATAAAAACATTCGTTAGAGAAGATTCATCAGATGGTCGATAATTGGTATGTAATTCATATAACAGTGTGACCATAGAAACTGACCAGTATGGCATTGGGTTTTCCAATAGCCCAGAGATTGACTTTATGATCTTCTCCGCCGGTGACCAGAACCCTCGATGACTTCCTCCCGATTTTGAGGCAATTGACTGCTGCAGAATGCGCTACAAATTCCTCTGTGTTTGCAGCTCAAGTTAAGGAAAACCTAAATAACACCAACAACACAACAACTTCCAACGATTCCCAACCGAAATACAAAACGGTCCGAATCCACAAAGCTAGGAAGTTTCGCAGACAGCAGCAAACGGGGATCCGCATTTTTCATTTGCCATTCGCGGCCGCAACACACGGCATCAATCGACACACGAGAATTCAAGGATACGCAGCTTGTAAGCGCGCTTAGTAGTCATGGCGGAGACGCGAGCAAAACCCTAATAGCAAGAAACAGCTCCGGAGACATTCAACACACGACGGGTCGTCCCCGAACCCGCCCAAGATCCGACACACAAAGCCAGATCTCAAAAACCCAAGTCAGGTTCTCTCCGCATCACCCCCCCTCATCGCCAGCACCAAGCCCCTGATACCCAACAACAAGGAAGAAAGAAAAAAAAAAACAGCGAGCTCCTAGATCACCAAAGGAACGAGAACTGGCAACAAGAAAGGCGGAAGAAGAGGGGATAGAGAAACGAAAAGAAAAAAAAAATGCCACCTTTGCGGGGGCGTTCGAATGGCGCAGGTCGAAAGGAGAAGACCCACTATTCTTTTCCTCCTTCCCACCTCTTCTTCTTGTCTTCGGGGTCGCTCCCTCCGGTTCTTGGCTCGCACTCAAGAAGATGGGTCGGGGAGTAGAGCGCAAGCATTCAAATTTTCGGGAAGCGAGGGCATTTCCCCTTCGTCGGTTACGGGGGAGTCATTACGCACAATCTATTAGCAGAAAGCATTGAACTACAAGTGACAGCTCTTTCCTTTTCCCCCCTTATTTCTTCCCCCACCCACAGAGAGAAAAAGAAGGAAACTTTGAACGCCAACAATGGCGAAAACGCAGTGATTCTGGGAGAGAGAGGCAGAGAGAGAGAGAGAGAGGGGAAGTGAGGAGGAGGAGAAGGGGTACAAGGAAAGAGCAGGGGGAAGGTTTGAAGATTTGTGTTCAGGTTCAAGAAAATCAACAAATTTTTTTTTTATCCTAATAAACTACAATAATTAGCAGTGATTAATAATCATATTTTAAAAAAATATATGATAAAATAAGAAGAAGAGAGAGAGAGGGGGGAGGGAAAAAAGTGAAAGAGAAGGAAAATGAGATGAGAAATGGTGTGGTGTGGGGTGTGGCCCAATTTGAAAACTACCCAACGCCTCACCCTCTCTCCCTCCCCTCTCAAAATCAAAAACGGTAAAGTCTCATAAGCACCCCCATGCCCCACACCCCTCCTCCCCCCTCTCTTCCTCTCATTATAACCACATTTCCTCACTTTTACTTCCTCACCTTTCTCCCAATAAATTAACCATTTTCTTTTTTCCCGCCTTTTTTTTTTATCTCGCTCATCTCTATCATGTACATGTGTGTGCCGTGATTGAATCCTGAACCCGGTACTCTCCTGCCATGCCCCCCTAATCCCTTCACCAGCCTAGTCGCATGCCTGCCGGCCTTTTCAACAATTTTTGATGTAACGATAAGAAAAGAAAAATTCGTTACGCTTAGTAAATGTAATTGAAGAATGAGTCGTACGAAATGCGAGAGAAAAACCTTACTAAATCAGGGGTAGTTTCCTACCAACGGGGGCTGTCTGCGTCTGTTAATTAGTATGGCGAGCTATCAGACTGCGTTTCTTGTTTTAACGTGCTGATGTCCATACGCCTTGCTCTTTCTAATCCCCACTTTATCTTAGGAATACTCTCTTTGTGCTTTACGTCTAAAGGATGCCGAAATCCGCACAAAATCTCAGACGAAGCAGTTTTATCTCTTGCTTAGGAGGAAATCAATTTTTATGTAACGATAAATAGAAATTCATTACGCTAATAAACACAATTGAAGAATGAATCGCACGAAACACGAGATCGCAGCATATATTTACCTAATTCCTCAAAGGGTATTTAGAGACAGGTCGTCATCAGAAGATTGATAATAGTATTTTGGGTTAATACCACAAAAAATCTCAAACTGGTACACTTGTAATAAATTTACCCCAAACTAATTTTTTGACCACGGAAAATCCAAAACTGGTACACTTGTGACAAATTTACCCCAAACTAATTTTTTAACCACAAAAACCACAAACTAGTACACCTATGATAAATTTACCCCAAACTGGTACACCTATAACAAATTTACCCTCCGTTAATTCCCATCAAATTTTACCGCTAAATTTGTTGATGTGGATGACACATGGTGACGTGGTATGGTGACGTGGCATGGTGACGTGGCAAGTTCACGTGGAAATCCATAGGGCAAATACCACGAAAAATCTCAAATTGATCCGCTAACAGAGAGTAAATTTATCACAAGATTACTAATTTTGGGTAAATTTATTACATGTGTACCAATTTGAGATTTTTTGTGGTTAAAAAATTAATTTAGGGTAAATTTGTCACTAGTGTACCAATTTGAAATTTTTTGTAGTCAAAAAATTAGTTCAAAATAAATTTATTATAAATGTACCAATTTGAAATTTTTTGTGGTATTAACCCTAATATTTTTATAGGCTCATTTCACGTTTTGGGGGGGGGGGGGGGGGGGTGGTTTTGTGGGATGCGTTTCACGTTTCGTTTCTTGCTTTCTTGGACTTCTTCATCTACCCTTTCTTTTCTTAAAGTTTTTTATTTTAATTTTTCTAGATTTTTTTTTGCTTTTTCTTGATTAAATAATGCAAAGTGGGAGCCACACAACAATCATTAGGATGCGACTCTAAACTGGTACAGCTCCGTAAGCCTATACATACCAAGAAGGTGCCCTAACAGTTTAAGGTTAAACTAAAAATGCTCTTTTGGGTCTAAAAGCCATATTCGGTATCCGTTAGGTTTTGACCTTTGGTGGCCTTTAGGTATACAACTCTTTCTGCTTCTTTATCCCTTTATACACAACATAACTTAAACTTCTACTATTTTAGTAAAATAAATAAAAACTTAAACTTCTACTAGGATGGAAACCATCTTCACAGTGAGATTCCGAGGGCTAAGCACCAATTCTTAATCCGAAATTCTCGTACCCTTTATTGGCTTTTATTCGAACCGCAAGTGCGAAAGGATATTACCCCATGAAATATCTCAAGGAGCATGTGAAAAGTCGTTTCCCGAAGTCGCTTCCATCTAAATTCAGAATCACGAGCAATTTTGGCGTGTTGTATGTGGTCAAGCTCGGGGCATCATGATTGAACCGCCAAAATGAGCAATTGAAGTTTGACGATCGCACATGTCGGTGTGATCGTCTCGGCGAGTTTCTCGAGGCTCTCCACCGATAAACAACGTAAAGTCTCTTTTTTTTCCCGATAACATCAGAATCGAGTGGTTGTGCACATTGGAAAAAAAAAAGACGAAATTACTTAATTGATAGTTACAAAACTAAAATAAAATGAAACAACTTCCCACCACCGCCACCGCTTTTCTTTCTCCAATTAATGGCTGGCTTGGTTGCATCGGAGTCATTTAATGTGAGTCCTTCACAATCTCAGAAAAACCGTGAATGAATGAATGGCGTCAATGGCCAGAAAACATGAAAAGCATGCCCCTTGCGGTGTGGTGGTGCGGTGGTTTCTTTGTAGTCACCAAACCGATGTCGGTGGTGGCGCCACCGTGGGACACCACCCCAACCCCCCCCCTCCCCGTCACTCTGAATTTCACATCGCCTACAGTTTTGCTCTTCCATCCACACAATAGCGATATCGCACGCATGCCAATTAATCAAGTACAAAGCATTTTGCTAATGGAAAGCTACGTCGGGTCGGACCCATTTTGTGAATTACATCTTGTGTAAAAATCGCTCATTACGTTTGACTTTCATGTTGTCGTCTTCTTTTGGAAAGATGGAAATCGCCTTATTTCTCGAGATGGAATGATCTTGATATAACTTAGTTTTTTTTTCTGGAGTCTTGCTCTAGAACGGAGCTCCAAGAGCAGAGCAATTCTCAAACCTCAGCCAGACCATAGAGAATGTAAATTTGGACGGTCACGCCATTGAATTCAGTCTTGGTGAAACCTTTTTGTTGGCACGTCGTTTTCGAGTTTAAATAAATTTGGTGAAACAATTTTTCTGATTTTATTGTTTTTAAGGTGAAGAAGTTAAAGAACTGGAGTGGTCCCCCGGTTACAAGTAATATAGTTCCCTGCATTGCTCAACCGAAAGGAGATTTTTCAAAAATCCTCACGACATCGTTTTCTTTTTTTTAATGTTTTGATTATATCATGTGATAACAGCACATGAAAAAGCTTTAAAAATGATAAATGGTCGAGTGGGCATTGTACAACAGACATGTTCACATAGCATAGTGCCCTCTTATATCCATCTTTCAATAACGAATTGGATCCAAGTATCACAATTATGACACTTGCGAGATTCGTCAAAAAAAAGTTACCTTTGACAAGTACTAGGTAAGGAGAAGGAAACTTGATATAAACATCTTAACAGATATATCAAGGTAGTAGGTCGAACGGTACGGGCTTTTCCTTCAATTATATGCGAGTATCATCACTAACTCCAACCATAGGTTGGCCTGCGTTGACTAACGTTAATCAAAGACCCAATTTGTTGTCCTCCCTTTCTTTGTTTGGGTAGGATCGAAACTAATTTCTCCGGCGCCTTTTTCACTAAGCAAGAGAGGAGAATCCTGAAGAGACATCATGGCATGTCCTCAACAGCTCATCCACAGGTGGCCTCTCTTCTGCGCACTACAAGCTCACGCCCCGGAGGCAGGATGAGAAGGGCTGACGACCCGTTGTTCTACGAATGAAATGCGCGACCGAGAAGCACTCGGAGGCGAATGTGTGATGTTCTTAAATGGGTATAGAAGAAAGCATGTGCCAAGAGCTACAGAGCTTGAGAAGTGTTTTTGTGGAAACTTGCGCGCACCGAGAACACTTGCTCAATATTTATTTTATCAAAATCATGTATCCAAATCTTGAGGCTATGTTACCAGCAATCTCGGCTGCATTCACCAGGCTCTCAACATCTTCACATGTCGAAGCACCGTATTTCCCAAAATTGTCTGGATAAAATGGCACAGACAACAGATCAAACAGATCTCCACTCTTTCGTATTCCGCAAAATGTAGTGTCTACAGATCCAAAGCCATTTCGGAAAACAAGAAGCAAATAAAGGTCTTGCGCTTTCAGGAACACTTTTCTAGTCTTTAGAGGTATGTGAGTGCACGTGACAAGATTGAAGTAAATCGAGATTGTCAAGGAAAACAAGAAGAGGAGACAAGCCAGTGGTGGTGAAGTGCGTAAAGAAGCAAAAAGGTTTGCTGTATCGAGGCCACAGTATCCTTTTGCCGGTTGATACTGACACTGATGATCAATCTAGAAGAAGAATAAGGGCGTGATGGATAACCATTCTGTTTTCTAAAATAATTTCTACTTAGAAATGATTATTTTTTATTTTATTTTCGGAAATAATTTCTAAGCATTTGGTAACGGCTCAAAATTTCCATTCTTGGAATAGAAAAAGAACAGAAATGCATTTGGTAACTGCACAAAATTTCTTTTTATTAATAAAAATTTTAATATTTTTTTAATTGTTTTTCTTTTTTATTTTTTCTTCTTCTCCTTCTTGGGACCGGCCACAGGCGAGGGTAGCCCTCGCTGGCCTTTTCCAGCCCTCGCCAGAGCCGGCAAGGGCCGCCGTCGAGGCTCGCGACCTAGGCGACGGCTGGACCCTCGCCGCCGCCCTCACTAGATCCGGTGAGGGCGGCCCTCGCCCAGGCCGCAAGCCTCGATGGCGGTCCTCGCCGACTTGAGTGAGGGCTAGAACCTAGCCTGTGGCTGGTCGCCAGCCACCGGCCAAAAAAGAAGAAGAATAGGAAAGAACAAAAAGAAAAAAAAAATCTCTTCGATTTCTGATTCTTGTTTCCAGAATAAAAAAGCAGCTTTTTTTTACTTCTTGATTCTGTTCCAAATATATTCCCTGACAATTTTTTTGTTCCGGGGAACAAAATAATTGGCTAACGTTACCAAACGGATTTATGTTCTTTTTTCGTTCCCGGGAACAAAATAACAGAGAATCGGAGAATCTAGAGTGTTACCAAACAGGCCCTAAATATAACTAGAAAGGAAGAATCGATTCTGCAAATCCTTAAAGATGTAGGTTTTATATAATTCAACCACACCGATCTGCCAAAAGCCCCAAATTCTGGAGATTAGCGTCTTGGTTAGTCCCTTTCCTTTTGTTTAACTGCGGCAGGGATAGCCTCGGAGTTTAGTTCCAGATTTCTATTATGAGCAGACAACATAATTTTTTCCTTCCATACCACCCGAACTTTCTGTGACTAAAGACGTCAAGCATTCATCAGTTTCCTCAAGTAAGAACATGCTTTATATACTACCGGTCAGCCAAAAATTCCTGACAATCACAAAAAAGGGATCCATGGCGCGGGTCTGCCAATAATCAAAGTAGAAGCACAATTGCCACATTTTACTTTTGGCTAGAATTTGCTGTCTAGTCACCAAGGCATTAAAAAACCTCTCACCCTACAAAGAACGGAAGAATGCAGAAGGTCCCATCGTGCGAGAAGTTACACTCTTGAAGTGAAATGCTGGTGCAGAGCAAAAACAAAAATGACCATGACAATTCTACCACGCAAAGCCAATGGAGTGACGCATTGATTCCATACGTAAAAGCCATTCCTGTCATGACTATGACTTATTTGCTGCTGTAAGGAAGTTCCTCAAATATTCAGCAAATTCATCAGATAGAAGGAGGAGTTTGCTTGAGAGCGGAAGACAGCAGGTATGTGCCCAAAAAAAAAAACACTGTAATAGTTCAAGTGGGTGCATGAGTGCGTGCATCTATGAGACCATTGAGAGTCTCTCCTCAAGATGACAGAAATAGGTTGCCAAACACGAGAATTACCACATTTTTCATAAGTGAACAGAAATGCTTAGCGAAGAGATATGTGTGTAGAAGGCCAGTCTAGTCCGATAATCTCCTTAGTGCACCTAGTAAAGCTCATACATGACTAAATCATGTAAGGCAAATCATGAGGTAGATTTGGTTATTTATTGCAGCATGATAACTTATCTATATATGGGAATCCAGATTGCCTCCTAAAGAAAGCAAGAACCAAATTCATTTGTGAGAACGGCAACTCAGGAAATAACATTATGGACCCATCAACCTCAAGAGGGTGAAGAAAATAAGCTCTCATTTTCAATCGGTGGTTGGGCAGTGTCACCAGACAAAAAGCCAAACCACATTCAACAAGAACTAACCACAAATCTGGCAAAGCATTCTGCACCAAGGAGAACACTATCTAAATATGCTCCTCTGAAGAACATGTTATATCTAACGAGAAATGGAGTAGTGTTCTATAAATTTTCTGTTATTGAAATTAATATTGTAACTGAAAGAGTGAATAACACATACAGAAAGTCCTTTTTAGCTTGGCTCGTTCAGACAGTCCCTTGATGAAGGGGGCAGTTTGCTAATCGGTGCATTTTCATCAAGAATATTTGAAAGTCGAGGAGGCAACCCTCCAAACAATCACATGGAATATTTCATGAATTGGCTAAACCTTATCAGTAGTGAATCGAACAGCACTAGAAGGAATTATAAGATGTTGATGCACACCAGAACAAAGTCGTTGGATATATTAAACGACTTCCCCGAGCAAGAAAATTCCAGTCTCCACTTCTTCACTCATGAAGCAAATAGGACCACACAACTCTCACTAGCACTAAAAAGCTACAATCTCATATACGAAAATAGCTGCTAATGGCAAACAAGATCAATGATTAAGAAGAGAATGAAGTGTAAAACACCAAGAGATTATGATGCATTCAGCATATATTGCAAATCTGAAAGAGATTTTAGCTAAAACCATTATTGGTGAAATGTAAGATTTTAGTTATGATCATCTTTGGTGAAAAACCACTCATATTACTGGGAGTCCTAGAAAAGACCCCCCAGTGGATTTGGTGTATTCTCAGTTATACATATTTATAAAGGTTTACAGATCCAGAGACCCATTTACAGGCTAAAATATGGGGAGAAATGGATTTTCCCCACTGATTATTGCGCTAAGACTAGTCTAGTTTCATTTGGCAAAGGTTTTTTATGAGTGTCCCCATGAAATTCGTCATAGGAAATACATTGACAAGCTACTATTGAACCTTTTATCAAGTTTGCCCCCACCCACACTAGAAGTTCACATAAAATGTATGAACATATTATTGCTACATGTACGTAATTTGGTCCCTGGAGGATTAACATGGAGAACTGCTAGTTTTTGAATACGAGATATCCACCCTAGTCACCGTAAGACACATTTGCCCAATTGACACGTATGAAGGAATCAAAATTGGACTTATTGGATCTTTAACACTTCATGCACGTGAAGGGGGGTGCGGTGGCGGTATTGCTGGAAAGCCCATTTTATGAAATCTCCAGGAGATCCCTCAAAGTATTTTGTAAAAGAACCACTCTTTTCCTTTTTGAGCTCTATAAACTAACTTTAGAAATAATTTTTTCATACAGCTATATTAATTGAAGCAAACCACCCCCAACAACTTCAAGCTTCACAAGTAGATGGCTTGTTAAACAGCAGTCACACTCATCAAATCAGAAATAAAATCATCATAGACATTGGCAAAGTAAAGAGAACAAAGGAAGGATTATATTTGTAATCATTGCTTATAGTTCCTTTCAGTCATTCATCAACGACAAGTTTCCACTCAAATGCTTATACAAGTACTGTAAAGGACTAAACCTTGTAACAAGATTCAGCTCACATTGAAGAAGTTCTGCATTTCTCCAAGCCAATTGCGGTCGATGCGGAGTGTGGATTCTTAAATTATATGAAGTGCAGTAGAAATATTCAGGAGTGAAGTGACAGGTCCAATATCAACAGGACTTACAGTATTTATTCTGACAAACTTTCCTTGACACCAATAAAACATTCTTGTGCCAAAGAAGCAAATTCATATTCTCTGCCCATTATGGATAACTTTAATATCACCACAAAGCACCAAATCTAGTCACTCAATATCACTTTCATTGTTAAGGTCACATCCCAAGTATGTAAGAATGCAGAACGTATGAACAGTGTGCCCAAATTCAATCATCAAGGAACAAGCAAAATGCTCCTCAGGAGGGGCCGAAACAGCACTCCCGTGATAAGAACAATCGTAGTGTCGAGTTCGACGGCCCTAACAATCGAGAAAAACAGTAGAACAAACAACCATCCACGTTGCACTGCGCTAGCAAAAAGTATGTATGAATATGGGAACAGAGATTAGAACGGGAGAAATTAATTTGCTTTTTGTATAAGGAAGCAAATACACAGTGCCGAAGCGCTTATACACTGATCGAACTCATCATCATTATCACACGGACATCAATCAAACATACTCGAACTCATCCTCCTTAAGATGCGCAAAGAACTTGACAGGTCCACGGCCTTCAATTTCCTTAACGAACTGCACCTTACAAGGAAGATTAGCCGAAATGCGCTTACCTTTAAAGTCCGCGACGTACTGCTTCAGCTCGCCTTCCATCCCGGTCAAGTCCACCTCCGGCACGCGCGGCACGTGGTACACCTTCAGCGGCACTTTTACCCTAACTCTCGCTCCAATCCTTGCCGAACCACCGTCCGGACCGTCGCCTTCACCCGAAACCGACGGAGAACCGGTCTCCGCCGAGGAGGAGGAGGAGGAGGAGGAGGAGGAGGACGGCTTCGCGTCCGATTTCAGCGCGACCTCACACGAGACCTTCCACTTCCTCGTCCGCGAGGTGTTTGCGGCGATGCTCGCCACCGCCGCCGCCGTCCTCGGGAGGGGCGAGAGGAGGAGGGAGGCGCGGGCCGATTTGATCGAGTCCGAGGGAGGAGACAAGGAGGAGGAAACGACCTGCGTGCCGGGGCGATTGATGGCCGCCGCCGCCGCCGCCGCGACCGCGGCGGTCCCGGCGGTCGCCGGCGAGAGCAGAGCCATGTTCGCGGTCATCGCCGTCGCGGTTTCCAGGCGAACCGAAGAAGAAGGAAGAAGAAGAGGAGGAGGAATGAGAAGGTTTCGGGCTTTGTAATTCTATCGAGTGTTGAAGCGAGTGATTCTGGTGAATTGGCCGTTTTGTTAAATTTCTGCTCCTATTTCTGACGATCATTATTTAAAAAAAAAAGAGACAAAAAAGACAAAAAGAAAAAAACGAGAGAAGAAATTACACCGAATTTCTAATTCTATCGAACTTGATATAACCGACATTTCTGATTTTTCCCCTCCACCAAACAACAAAGGCCAAAATGCTCTTTTTATTTCTTCATTTTCATACTTAACATTTAAAAATTTCTCTATTTCTTAATAATTAACGGGAAATACGTCTATGCTAATTTGTGATCATGTAGAATCTTTCACGGTTTCTTTTTCGAATCAAGATTATGTCATTCACTTTTTTTCAAAACAAACGGATTCTTTAGGCTCTGCTTGTTTCTCGGAAAATGTATGATCTGGAAAATATTTTCCTCGAAAATGATCGTTCGTAACAATGAATGAATGAAAAGTATTTTCGCGGTTCACGAAATTATTTATACATAAATTATTGTTGATAATGAAAACATTTTTCATCAATTAATAATTTCAAGCGATCATTTTTTAGGAAAAAAATTTTCAAGTCATTCATTTTTCGTGAAATAAACGAAGCGTTAGAAAATGTCGGGTTCTAATAGGAAATTAATAGGTAATTTTTCTGTTAAAAAAAGTGTAAGCGAGTAAAGTTAAACACCGATCATCATTTTCAGGCCTTTCATTTTTTTTTGTTCAAAATATCACTTCTAGATAATGATATAGACATTTAGTAAAAGATTATCAGGCCAGAATAGATATTTCTTTTTTTTCTTCATAAAAAACAATAGTAGATATATTTTTTCTTTTTGCACCAATAAAAGGAGATATTTTTTTTTATTTTGAGTGGGGCCAAGGGACTGACACGCGGCACGGAACATGTGGCTGTAAGTGAAACGGGGGAAGAGAGAGGCCGCGATTCTACTCCAACCATTTTGGATTTGGATAACGCATGAGCACGACGCGGCCACCGATCATCCCCACAAACGTGAACTCAAGATATCAACACCGTTGGTCCCGGAGAAAAATATCATGCGTTAGCGATTATCCTTTTCACGGAAATTTAATATAAAAAAAATCTTAGATATTCATGAATTATTCATGACAAGAGAGATGAAGACACGTACTTCATCCATAGCAAGTTAGAGAAAATGTGTCGCAAAAATAGGAGAAACGAAGGAATCCGATATCCTACTTGAACCGAAACTATAGGGTCGCATCCGAGAACCAGTTCCTTCCTGATCTAGGGTTTCGTCACAGAGCGAGAGAGGAGAGAGAAGAGGAAAGAGAGAGGGAGGTCTGTGGGTGGTCCCAAGGTATCAATGTGTCCGGCCCGACCCTATCCAACCCTAATAACACCCACTTCTAAAAGCCCTATTAAAAAAAGATTAAGACCCAACCCAAAATACCCCAAATTTTAGGATTGGGTAGGGCCGGCGTGGGCTTTTTTGACACCTCTACTTAACTCACTTCTTCTTAATGTATTTTATCTGATGGAGGATAAAATATGACTTCCGTTGTCTTTGGGTGGAGAGAGGACTAGACTCTTGCTATCGATACGTGCTTTCAATAGGTGCCTTCCATCTAAGCACATAAAAAATTCTATCTTTATAAAAGTTGCAACTTATGATATCCTATCTTCATAAAAGTCAACTTTTCATAGACAATACGTTTTAGCATTTAAATAATTATTAAATCATTAATAATATCATGTGGGTCATAAGGTCCATATGACCTTTCTTTCATGGTTTAATAAAGACCATAATGTGTACAATAACATTATGCTAAAACCTTTCTTAAAATGGCTATCACATAATAATTGCAATTAAGTAAAGAAGATTAATGCGAGTCATAGCAGTTGTGTGTCATTAATCGACATCGTCTCTTCCAGTTCCATGTACTACAACTATAGTTCTCTACTTATCATGATCCATAAATGAGAAGTATCGTAATGTCTTTGTTAAAGACTATCATGACATTGACCTATCTCCATCATGTATACTAAATAAAAAACATGAAATATCATAAACACATAAATGAGTTCAGAGTGTCAAATAAATAAACTTAATAGAATCATAATACGATATCATTAATGACGTCGAACAATGCACATCCTTTCAACATGTTCATTAAATATTTTGGGGGCAATCCTTCTGTTAAGGGATCTACAATCATAAGGTTGCTGTTAATGTGCTCAATTGACACTCTCTCTTTCTAAACTTCTTCTTTAACGGGCAAGTATTTAATTTCCATATTTTTAGCACCATATGGGAAAATGTAGGTACATAAAGGGTTCGAAACAAATTCAAATAATGCTCAGTATCTAAGATTAACCAACAAGTGCCAATGCCTTTAATTGGAGATTCACCGTGAACGCATAGTTCTAGTTTGGCTTTATGGTTTGGATCGTAAAAAATCCATGCATCATATTTGAAACATGAGTGATGGCACCAGAATCAATCCACCAAGTATTAGAAGAACTTTAGTAAAATGCTTACCTTTCTTTTCAAACCAAGCTTCGCTTCAGGCATTCTTTCTTCAAATGTCCAATTTTATTACTTTTGGAATTCTTTTCAGCTTCTTGATGACTTAATAGATGAACAAAATGAGCCTTTTGATTCTTTATCCTTGTTTCATATTCATTTACATTTCACTTATCCTTATAGTGTCATGATTCATCTTAAATGACCCATATTGTTCATGAGGCAAGGAATTAAGTATGAATTGTACCAAAAAGTACTCATCCATGTTCATTCCCAAAATCCTTAATTTTGCGACTAAATTCGTCATCTCAAGTACATGCTCATGCATGGTACATGAACCATCATATTTTATGGTGGTCAAAGTGCTCATTAATGTAGTGACAAGTGACTTATCAGTAGTTTGAGAACGCTTTTCCACAAATTTCATAAATTCCTTAGCACTGTCCGTTTTGGAAAGAATAGTTTTTAAGTTGTTTGCAATGGTCATTCGCATAAACATTAATCTTAATATGTTCAATCTTTCCCAATCTTTATAGAAAGACCTTTCATTATCTCTACTCTCAACAGTAATAGTAAGTAGTTCTTCAACTTGAAGTTCTACATTAAGATACAGGACACTTAAGTGAAACTAGACTTGTTCATACCAATTAGAGAAATTCATTCAATTGAATAAAGAAACAGACAAAGCATGCGAATGAAGAAAAAGAAATAGGTACATATACTACAAATATGCAAGACAATACTCATACATTAGTGCTTTAAGAATATCGCATAATCAGATTCAAATTAAACAATACATGTACATCATAGTTCTCCTTTGGGTGATCCCACGATATACATTAAACCATAATAATGCTAATAACTTTTATTTAGTAGTTATAAATACACCTTAATAAATTTATTTCATATCTTTGGATATACAAACAAATCTAACTAAATATTTTAATTAACAACTATTACACTCGTGAAGTATAAGAAATTGATTAACCTTTAGGTGAATCCTTAAGTGCTTATAATAAATGAACTTCAACTCATGACACCAATAAAGATATGTAATATATCAATTTCAATCATAGCATCAATTAATCATGGGTAATTGAATGAAACATTGTTTAATTTTAAAAATTCAAGAGACCTTAAGGTTCGCTACTTTAATTTGGTCACTAACAAACCATTCATAATTGAATTTTTAAATTGTAATACACTATAATTATTTCATAATTTAATTAACTCTAAACGTAAAGATTTAATCACTTTGGTGATAAAATCATCATAAAGGTATGAGAATTAAATTATACGCTATGACGCCTTAAGAATATATATGCCAATTCATATATAAATATATGAATACGTATAGCAAAACAATTAACATTATGTAAACCAAGAAAAAATATATACAGCAAGAGCATTAAAGCCAAACGATAATTTACGGGCGATTTTAATAAGCAAGTACTTGTATTAATCAATTTGATGCATATATATCTTTAACGAGCATTAATGGGAGAACATTAACGATACCATATATATTTTAATAATCAGAAAAATCATGAGATTTTAAACCATGCTCTGATACCAATTGTTAGCGATAAAAGCAAAAATTCAATATAAAAGAATCTTAGATCTTCATGATTATTTACTACAAAAGGGATGAAGACACATATTTTTATCCATAGCAATAACTTTGAAAAAAAATATTGCAGAAATACGAGAAATGAAGAAATCCAAATTTTCTCCCTTAACTCATTTTTATTTAACATATTTTATCTAATAGAGAATAGAATACAGCTTTCGTTGTCTATGAGTGGAGAGAGGATCAAACTCTTCATATAGGCTATCAATAGGTGCTTTCCATCAAAACACATAAGATATTCTATCTTCATAAAAGTTACAACTTCTTATATCCTATTGTCGGGAGAAGGACACAAGAAGCATCAAAAGTTGTGTACAATACTTACTTTAGTGTCAAAAGTATTTTTTGTATCACGTAAGTGCCAAATTTTTTGAAAAATGATTTTTTCAGTGTCAACTCCGATCTGTTTGGCCAGAAATCCAACGTGGCCTTTTGTTTATTAATAGCTTAAGCCGACGTGGCTTGTCGGAGGATCTAGTCAGCATCTAAAGCATAAATGACGTTGTTCAATGCCTTTCCCCCAAATAAGAACCCTCAATCTAGAGAGAGAAAATAGGCAGAGAGAGAGAGGGTGCTCCTTCCCCAATCCCCTGCAAACCCTAGCATTGCCTACAAAGATTGGTGACATCTCTCTCGTTTCTCGCCATTTCTTGATAGGTTCGACCTTGTGTCGATCCTCTCTTCCTCTCTGCGTTAGTGTTTTTTTCATCGGGTGGGTGCATTGCGCGTCGTATTTTCCTGTCTTGCAAGCGAGTGCAATTCGTTGCTTTGTTTCATAGATTCCGCCCTTTGACGGTTAATTGAGATCTGAATTGATGTCTGTTTTGATTAAGGTGTTGTGATTTGGCCACTGGTCGTGCGACGCTGAGCAAAAAGAGATACATTTCAATTCGATGAGGAAATTGCAAACGAAGAGAGATCTTGTAAGAGGGGCCGGAGATAGAGAGAGAGTCACCTCATCCGATGGGGCTGCAATGGCAAGTGGTGGTGACAGAGACCGACGAAGTTCGATGGCGAAAGTTGGTGAGGTGCGACGGAAGCACTGTGCAGGAGGATTCAGGAGAGTGAGCGACAGCAATCAACAGCGACCGAGTGACGGCGATGGTGAGGGAGGACTCTCGGAGGGAGAGGCGCGTTGGTGACTGAGGGTTGAACACAACGGAAGGAAGGGCGCCGTTTTTTGTTGACCCATGAAACGATGTCGTTTTGGGACTATTGGTGCCACGTTGAATGAAGTGGTGTTGTTTTGCAAGTCCATGCGGATGAGATTTTTTTTAATATAACGACAACTCATATAAGAAATTTAATTAAAAAATTTATGTATTAATTTTGGTCGGAATATTTCGCCGTTGGCACTTAAGTAATTATTTTTTTCTCCGATCTGTCACTTAAATGATCAGGCGAAAACTTTTGGCACTAAAATGAGCGATTACATAGCTTTTGGCACTTCAAATGTCATTCTCTCTCCTATCTTCATAAAAGTTACAACTTGTCATATCAACTACATTTTTAGCATTTAAATAATTATTAAATCATTAATAATATCACGTGGGCCATAATTATTTTAGATCAAGGGCATGGAAATGAATTTAGTAAATAACTAAAAATAAAATAAATGCCTTCGTTACTTTGCTTGGATCTTGTTCCCCGGACGTAATTAACATTGCTCATAGCCAGATTCCACAAAAGTAAATGAATGATCTGTTATATCGACGACACGGACAATTCGACGCCGCGGCTAACTTCATGGATGACGACGCGGTGTCGGATCTTCGCACTTTCCTTCCATTTCACCCTCATCTGTCTTGAGATTATGATAGGCGTTGCCTTGAAACGTTCGGTGCCATGTCGGGGAGTCTGACATGATATCGAGTTAAGATTGTGTTCGCTTTCTGCCCCGGCATTGAGCCTTCTCTTTCGGTCGCGATGCCTGTGCTAGGCTCTTAAGGTAGCTGCTGTGGCGCAAGCCGGAAGGAAGCGGAAATTGCAGCAATGTCAAATGAATTGAACCAATGAAACTTCTGATGGACCCAACTGGTTTTTCAGTTTTCAATCAATTGCACTGTCCTTACAACGTCGCGGGACTCATCCTTTTCGGACGCTAATTCTGTAGAAAATTACATGATAGAGAGAATTGCTAATGCAACTAGGATCGCGACTCTTGGCCTGAACAAGGCCTGCTCGGCTTTGTGGAAGGCAAATGCTGCTCCACCTTGTGAAAGAATCGAATGGCAGCTGATCTCTTGCAAGCTCTGCTCTGAGTTTTAGCAGGGCTATTATTAGAATTCATGCGGGTTCGATTCTTTGTTCTTTTCTTTTAGTCGTGGCGTTGGACTAGGAACGGCTTGAACGTCATCAGCACCCCAATTGCCTCGAGCACGTTCAAGATGAAGAAGACCATCTGGTTGCCTGCACATGGGCACAGGGTCGTTAAAGCTCCTCAGTCAGCTGAGAGCTGAAGCGCGGTCTATCGCGGCCGCATAGACTTATTTCTCATAATCATGCCACCTTCTTCTTTTCTTTTAGCAGATGACAACAGATGAGCTAGTCATAATTATACAAAGATGGCCAGAGCCATGATCGCAGAATTGGAAAAAGCCAGTTTACCTGGGAGCAAGGCTGCGTCCTGACGCTTCTGTGCCCAAGAGAATCTGCCAAAGATTTTGAGTCCATGGGTGAGAACATTTATCAAGTCTACTCTTTAAGCATGCAGAAGTAATTGTTTGATTTCACTGATGAGTTTTATATGATGGACTGCTCAATTTTCCCGTCGTGATTAAACGAAGGCCGACCATAATTAAGTAGAACTCACATTGTGCCTCCTCCAGCTGGACCAGCCGCCTTGAATAGAGACATGGCTGTCATTGCGATTCCATTAGCAGCTCCTCTCTGATGTTGGTCCTGCGATTTAAGATTCGCACTTAAGCCAAACCTTAACAAGAAAGGTATGCATTCGAGGATGTTAATAAAGATCAGACTCGTCGAGGATGATCATTAGAAGCTTACCACGGCTTTGTTTTGAAGAAGGAACAAGCTAGTGATGATGCAAACCTTCAGACGTGCAAAATTCGACCATTAGCGGTTTTGCTTTTTCTCTTTTCCATAAAGAAAACATAATTCGAATGATTTATGTGCATATTTGCTTCATATATTGTAGGTTAGAGTGTAAGGCTTACTCACACACAGAACATTCTTCACGACGGATGCGCAATTCAACACTATGGAGAGACTTAGCCCGGTCAGCATGGCTATAAAAGGGTAGCTTGACAAGAGGGGTATCGACAATACCTGCATTCAGGCATTTGTGCGAAGGAAACACGGGTGAACATGTCCTTGCATCAAATAAATTGTGGACGGCAAGAGATACACAATGGCCAGAAAATATATTTTTCACAAGCAGGTGCTTAAGTTCAAGTTCCGAGATGTCAAAAACATACCCCACCAATGCGAGCTAGCACAACCGGGCCGAGAAGTCTGTCCAAGTATGGGTAGAAACACGTTTGGAAGATGAGAAGGGCGGCACCTGGCAGTAGAATTTGGTAATCAGCAATTTCCCCACAGATAATCGAACTGAATACAGAGATATGTTATGTGATAATAGACCACCGTACTTCCAAGTTTCAAATAGACAATGCCTATCAATGAATACAGCCCGCCACATCTCAAAGTTTCCTTCGAATTGCAGTTTTAGTGACTACCTCGTTTTTTTCCTGAACGAGTTTATCTTGAAATATAAGAATGAAACTGGAGTACATACCTGAGATAGAAAGAACATTTCCAACATCTGCAGTTGTGTAGCTTAAACCCCCTAATCGCCTAGGGCTTACGGCCCATAGAGAGAAGATCTACAAAGAGAAAGTAGCACGGAATGGCGAAGGAGAGGATCGAATTATAAGAGATCAATGTACCACAAAAAAGAATTTATTTGGAAACTGGCCCGATATACTGATCTGATGAACTATTCCGAACTAGGATAGAGCTCCAAAGAACAAGCCAAAGTAATTTTCTCGCAACAACCACTACATCATAACTAGCCAAATGAATGTCTACTGAATGCTGCATTGCAGATTATTAGTTCGTGTTCGTCCACGGAAAAATAAATTTTGCTCTTTAAGCAACTGTAATGAAGCACTCAGCAGCATGGTACTGAAGTCATTGCACTCGTGATTGTAGAATGTCTGGTACGGTGCATGAAGAAGAACTGAGAAGGCAACGTGGACAAGCGGCATTTTGGATTACCTCTGTGTAAGCCATGTCATGAAGCGAAAAGATGCAGTACACGATGATGGATGACATCAAGGGCCAATTTCGAATCAGAGACTTTTTCGGAGCTTTCCCTTCAACTTTATGCATCTTGTGTTTTGTCCTGGACTCGAGGGACGCGGTCTCCACATCTTCGCGAGACTCATCAAGCTCGCTACTTCCATGGTGCATATGCAATGTTTCCTGCAATAAAACTAGATTTTCAGACACTCAATAAAGTGCAACAAGCAGTTTGTAATTCTTTCATAGATAAAGCGAAGCAGAGATAATGTCTGAGGAAAGGGGAAAAAAAAACACAAAGGTTCTCAATATCAAGAATGAGAAACATGAACTGAGTTCAGCGAAGTGCATACCGGAAGCCAAAACGACGCGATAGAAACTACCAATGCGAAAAGTGAGATGGGGAGACAGGGCAAGAAGTAGGGAAATCTGCATCGAAATCTGGTAATGAGTTGATGATCACTAAAAAGGATCTGCAGTATAATTTAGAAGAAAGCAACCGTGCTCACCTTCCAAACAGTGATTCTTTGGAAAATATCGACGGGAACTTTTCTGCAGGCTGAAGAGAAAAAAATACAAAACCGGGAACATCAGAGGAGCATGAAAAATGAGAGAAGCATCACGCACACGGGCGCTGGAATGGTCATCGTTTTTGGAATACTCAATTTCATGCGTCGAGATATGATAAATCAGACATACCTGTGCAAGATAACCACCCAGAGCTGGACCAACAATCAATCCTATCCCCCATGCTGTACTAACCTGAGTCCAAAATGTAGCTCTCGGCTTAATTTACTTAGCAGAAAAACTAGGAACCTGTATTGAGAGCTCAAAGGTGTATACAAAGGTCGAAGATCTTACTGTTGCTATTCCTAGCGCTTGGTACTCCTCACGGAATATTTCGCTCGCAAAAGCCTGTCATGATATTAAGAAATACATAGATGAGAATATCGCAAATTCGTGGAACAAAATAAGAAGGGATAGATTATTTGAGGCTCAAAATACTCGTGCCCCGATGAATCCCAAAGTTCATATCTGTACAAGACCTTACCCTGATCGGTCCTAGTAAACCATTTAAACTTCCTAGAAAGAACCTTGTCGCAATGGCCATCCAAAAGTTCACACTTAGGCCGAATAGAGTGTTGAAGATAACCCTGATATCAATCGAATCTTAGTCATTAATCGAGTGTAATTGTCGGAGAAATATTTTTTCATTGGGAACTCAAATGAATGGTAATCTAAGATAACCCTGATTTCAATCGAATCTTAGTCATTAATCAAGTGTAATTGTCGGAGAAATATTTTTTCATTGGGAACTCAAATGAATGGTAATCTAGTACTAACACTGCAATTGTTCCCATAATTATAACGGGTTTTCGCCCATAGCGATCCGCCACAATTCCCCAAAAGAGCGACGTCAAGACTCTACCAAACATGAGTGAAGAACCTTCAAGATTTCAACGAGTTCGTTAGGGAAAAGTTTAGTCGAAAATGAACAGAGGAGTCAGCAATGAACAGAGATAAGCAACTCTGACAATCTCACCGACATAACCGGCATAATACCCAATGTCTTCCTCTCTTTTGGCGATGTGAAAATCTCTAATCTGCCATTTGGAATTCAACAAACAAATGAAGATTTCTTGAGTACAAGAAGCTAAAGCGTATCCTGAGTCATTTACACAATAATCTGGCGAGGAAAGTGATGGAACTTTTTATGGAGCTTAAATATCCTACGTGACGGCATGCCAATGGCTAACTCTGATGCTTCAAAGTTGGATAAAAGAACGTTCACTTCGTGCATTACTTGTTTCATTTGCAGCAAAAGCAAAAAATTTCGGGACAAATCGACCAGGAATAACAATTTGGAGCCTAGAGAGACGACATTTGAGAAAACAGAGCCCAAACCATACAATTTAGGACCCAATGTCTCGAGTGCAGACACAACAGTTACATATACATCCTACTTAAAATTGAAGTATAAAATGCAAGAGCTTACCATGAAGTAAAGGAATGGGAATAGAGATGATATTGGCAGTGCTGGAAAGAGAAAGGACAAGACACAGGTCAGTAACATCATAAATCACCCAAAACAGAATGCCTAATCCAATTGGCTACTGATTATATAACTACAAGTACATCTTTTCGAACCGGGAAAGATCTTCTGATTATCGAACGAAGTAGCGCTATAGCTGAATGAAATTTCATAATCAGATAAGCAGACTAATACTGCCAGAGAAAGGGACATACTCTCCGTCACTATGCAATATCGCCATCGGCTTAACTACACATCAACAACTGAATTATTCCAGACAAATTAACTCCAAAATATCATGTAAAGTTGCGTCATGGTTATGTTCAGTAAATCAGTAAGATCAACGAACCCAGAAAAGAAAATCCAAAAGTTGACAGAAAGCTTGTGAACAAACAACAAGGCTATGTGTGCTCATTACCGGCGCAAAGCACGACCATCCAGATAGACACGAGCTTGCGGATCGGCAAGCCTCTCTGTGATTCCTTGAGCTTCTCGACTTTGCAGCCGGGGCAGTTCTCATAGTAACGCTTCTGCAACAACGCCTCCTTTTGTTCGTCCTCCGCCATTGCTTTTAACCTCAACCGATAGAGCCGAACACGCGAAATTCAGCTTCCCAACAAATGAAGTAGAAAACCCTTCTTCTTTCACACGAAAAAACTGCTTTACGAGAGAATAATCAAAAAGCGTTAAAGAAAACAAAAGTTTTCTGCAAAAAAAAAAAACGAGCGTTAGAGAAGAACAATACCGCACAGCATCATATATGATTCTCCAGTTCAAGGCATATTCCGAGAGTGAGAGCACGTGAAAACATCACATGCTTCATGCTTAAAGCTGATGATATGGATTGTAACTTCAGATCATTTCATGAAAACAAAAGCAAGGTTCTAGTCACGTACCCTTAAAATATAACAAAGTTGATTCTGTAGTGTAGGACGGAGGGTTTTGCTCTTTTGCACGTGGGAGTGAAATTATGCAGGAGCTCTAAGGCTGGCTTTTAAAAGCAAAGCCATGGAAGGCGATGAGTCTGGTGCAGGAGATGATTCAAGGAGATGCGAGAACCATCTCGTTCCAATGTCATCATTGCACGCGTCAGTTTTTACTATCTCGAGGAGCTTTCTTGTTATTAAAAAATATAATCGAGCCTAAGAAAGTGGATTTCTTATTTATGGACAGATGACTCGGCAAAATCATCTAACCGGGTACACAGAAAGCACACAAAATTGAAAACCAAGATAATTTACAAAATTGATATATCGAGCGATATGACGACTTATTATCAGATGCTGAATGAGGTTCGCATACTTAGCTTACCAACTCTGTAGATCCTCTTTAGCTTACACGATATTTTACCCTGAATTAAATGAAATAAAAGATCGTGAAATCATTGTTTTTATGTAAACTTAGAGCGTCCCGTGCGACTTTAATTGCTAAGGCACGAATTCAGGATAATATTGCTTCTCGCGAACCCAAGATCGAAAAAAAATTGCTCACCCAACGAGGAGATGTTACATGCTCAGCCATCGTGAAGCTGAACATTGAAATAACATAAAGTGACGCAGGGAGTACAGAAAGAAGACAAAGATGATGATGAGGGCTGCTTCATTTCTGGACTACGTGCAAATAATTCAATGTTTTAAAACTTTTTCTTATTCGATTACTTAGGATGTAAATGATAATTATTTTGTTCCAAAAATCAATTTCCAGCCAGAAATTTTATTTTTATTTCATGGAAGAGTTTCTGAGCTAAATTACGCGTTTGATAACGACACAAAATTTCTGTTCCTGAAATGGAAATTCGTTTGATAACGACATAAAATTTCCCTTCCCAAGTGGCTAGCGGACGGTGGGAGGCGAGCGGCGACAGGAGGTGGCCAGTGTTGGATAGTGGCGGAGGACAACAGGCGGGCAACGGCAGGAGGCAATCGGTGGTCGACGATGGGAGGCGGCTAGCATTGAGCAACGGCGCAAGATGTCAAGAGGCGAGCAACGGGCGGCGGCGGCAGCGGCAGCCGACAGTGGGAGGTGGCTAGCGTCGGGCGGCACCGGAGGACGGTAGACGGCGGGCAGTGGCAGACGGCAATGGACGGTGGCAGGAGGCGGCAGATGGCGGCGAACGACGATCAGCGGGCGGCGGCAGGAGGCAACCGATGGTCGGCGGCGGGGGAGGCGACCGGTGGCGATGGCGGGTGAAGGGTGGGAAGAGTTTTTATTTCTCATTTCTGTTCCAGAAATAGAAAAGTAGAAAATTTTTATTTCTGATTTCCATTTCAAACTTATTTCTAGAATAAAAATTTATTTCATAAATAGAAAAAATGAAAATTACGTTACTAAACATATTTTTATTTCAAATCTGTTTTTACAAATAGAAAATAAAAAAAAATAAAAGAATAAAATGATTATGGTGTGCATCCATAATAAATTAAGTACCTTGACTAAGGACATGGACAGTAACACGTTAAAGTTATGATGAACTAGGGCAGCAGGTCAGAAGTCAGGAGAGACGTGACTAGTACAATGTCCCAGGCATTCATTCCCTAAACGACAGAAACAAGGAAATAAAGAGAAAAAGGAAAATGGTCCCTTTTGGAGCCGTATATCGGAAGGGATAGATGCGATTCAGGTCACGTCGCTGGATCCAATAATGTTACTGTCAATTCACGGGAAACACGACAAGAAAGTAGATCTGCGACTTCCGTGAAAACATTTCCTTCATCAACTGTAGAAAGATCAGGCTCCGTTTGAGGAGACGAGGCAAATGGAGGGAACGAAAGGGAGACCGGAAAACAGGCGAAATTTCGATGTTCTCCGTGAGAAGAAGAGAAAAGGTTTGCCTTTTTTTTTTTCTTCTTTTGTAGTTGAATTTTCGCTGGCGGGCCGTCTGTTTTCTTCCCCTCATTGGTTTCCCGGCGAAGCGAGGTCTCGAACATTCGATCTCGCCGGAAGAAGTGATACATCGTCCAGAGAATGATCTTTCTTTAACTGTTAACGTTTTTGTTAAACGGTACAAAGGGCACAAGATCAAATGAGCGATTTTGGAGGAGCCAATTGCCACATTAAAGGTTCTGGTTGCACTGTGGCATATTGCTGGACTTTTGTCTTGGTGGTGGTGGCGGCGGCGGCGGCAGTGGTGGTGGTGGTGGTCGATCAAATGTCACCTTTTCCTTGATCATCGATAACGAAGTGTGACAATTGGTTGGGATCCAAATAGAGGGCTCATGTTGTTTGGACACGAGCGGATGCCTGCGAAACGTTAGCAATACTTGCGAGGTGCACATCAAATTAATAAGGATTAATATTATGAAAATTCCAAACTGATACATTCGTAACAAATTTACCCTAAATTTTTTTTTTGACCACAAAAAACCTCAAATTGGTACACCTGTGATAATTTTACCCTGAACTAATTTTTTGACCACCAAAAACCCCAAACTGGTACACCCGTGATAAATTTACCCTTCGTTAATTTTACTATCAAATCGCTAAATTTGATGACACGTGATAGTTGACGGGTGTATCAGTTTGGGGTTTTTACCCCTCTGTTTGTCACAAGTTTACCAATTTGTGATTTTTCATGATATTAATCCAATTTAACGGACACTAACGGAGAGTAAATTTGTAATAAATATACCAGTTTGGAGTTTTTAGTGGTCAAAAAATGAGTTTGGGGTAAAATTATCACAGATGTACAAGTTTGAGATTTTTTATGGTCAAAAAATTAGTTCGGGGTAAAATTATCACAAGTGTACAAGTATAGGGTTTTTGGTAGTAAAAAGTTTAAGATAAATTTGTCACAGGTGTACTAGTTTAGGGTTTTTGGTGGTCAAAAAATTAGTTCGGGATAAAATTATCACAGATATACTAGTTTGAAGTTTTTCGTGGTATTAATCCAATTAATAATATATCTGCTGTTGGATCCTGCGGATCTTACGTGGGATCCACATAGTGCTCTTGAAGAATCTGAGAATTTTTCCTGACACATATCGCATGGTCCCGTCGCTTTCGAAAGCCACGTGACATTGAGGCACCAATTTGTGGGAGAAGTGGTTTGTGATGGGAGGGTCGAATGCAATTATCACCAAAGTAAAGTTATGCATGTGGCTTCAACAATTAATAACCCGCATGATGAATATAGTTAGAGGTAATTTCCTCAGATCAAGGACTGAAGAAAATATAACCGTATTTTTGTATACACAATTATGGCAAAAGGACATTATAAGTGCCATAAGTTGTGTGCGGAGATCACTTTGGTGCCATAACTTTTTTTCGGATCACTTTGGTGCCAAATCGGAAGAAAAGAGATCACTTTAGTGACTTCGGCCAAAATTCCGGCAAAAAAAAGAGCCACGTCAGATTTCCGGCGAGCCACGTCAGATTTCCGGTGAGCCATGTCAGCATCAAAAATTAATAAAAAAAGAGCCACGTCAGATTTCCGGCGGCCATGTCAGCATTGGCACTAAAGTGATCGTTTTGCAAAAAAGTTGGCACCAAAGTGATCCGAAAAAAAGTTATGGCACCAAAATGATCTCCGTACACAACTTATAGCACTTATAGTGTCCTTTTGCCCACAATTATTGCATCGAATATCTGCACCATCCTTCCTTTTCCCCTGTCGTCTTACAGATTAGTGCAGATATCATCTTGAGATGTTTGATGCGGTGTTTAGGACTTCTACATAACTAGGTGGACCAATTAGTGAAACAACGGTATCCTTTTTAGCGATCTGATATTGAGTACAGATTGTCTTTGCCTTCTGCCCCCGGCGTCGAGCATTCTTTTTGGGGTCACAATTTCTGTGCTACGCTCCAAAGCTAGTTGCTGTGACACAAGCAGGAATGAAGCGGAAACTGTAGCAATGTCACTGAATTGAGCCAATGAAACTCCTGATTAACCCAACTGGTGATTCTGTTGTCAATCAATTGCACTGTCCTTACAATGTCGTGGACTAATCCTTTCCGGACACTAATTCTTCAGAAGGTTACATTATAATGGGCAATACATCATAATTCCATTTGGTGCTATTGTTGGAGTATTAAGAATATTAGCACATAGGTGTTAAATTGCTAATTCAACTAGGATCGCGACACTTGGCCTGAAAGGGCCGGCTCGGCTTCTTGGAAGGCAAATGCTGCTCCACCTTGTGCAAGAATCGAACGGCAGCTGTTCTTTTGCGAGCTCTGCTCTGAAGTTTTATCAGGTCTCTACTTAGAATTCACGCGGGTTCGATTCTGTTTTCTTTTAGTCGCGGCGTTCAACTAGGAATGGCTTGAAAGTCATCAACACTCCGATTGCCTCGACCACGTTCAAGATGAAGAAGACCATCTGATCGCCTGCACATATGCATGGGGCCGTTAAAGTTTCTCAGTCAGCTGCGAACTCAAGTGCGGTCTGTCACGGTCACAGACTAATTTCTCATCATTGTACAATCATGAATATGTGCATATACACATCTTCATGTGAACACCTTTTCTATTACCAGAAGACAACAGATGAACTAGTCATGGTAATACAAAGAAGGCCAGAGCCATCATCGCAGAACTGGAAAAAGTCGGTTTACCTGGGAGAAAGGCCGCATCCTGACGCTTCTGTGCCCAAGAGAATCTGCAAAAGATTTTGAGTCCATGCATGAGGACATTACTCAAGTCTACTCTTTAAGCATACACAAGTAATTGTTTGATTTCAGTGATGAGTTTAATATGATCGACTGCTCAATTGTCCTGTCGTAGTGATAAAGCGAAAGCCCACAAAAATTAAGCGGAGCTCACATTGCGCCTCCTCCGGCTGGACCAGCCGCCTTAAAGAGAGACATGGCAGTCATTGCGATTCCATTAGCAGCTCCTCTCTGATCTTGGTCCTGCAATTTCAGATTTAGACTTAAGCCAAACCATCACAAGAAAGGCACGTATTCGAGGATGTTAACAGGGTCAGACTCGTCGAGGATGATCATTAGAAGCTTACCACGGCTTTGTTTTGCAGTAGGAACAAGCTGGTGATGATGGAAGTCTTTCGACATGCAAAATTTGACAATTAAAGTTAGGTATGAACAGAGGTTTGGATTTTTCTCTTTTCCATATTTATGTGCATATTAGGTTCATATGACAGCTTGGAGTTTAAGGCATACTCACAGAAAGGACAATCTTCGCGACTGATGCGCAATTTAACACTGTGGAGAGACCTAGCCCGGTCAGCACTGCTATAAAAGGGTAGCTTGACAAGAGGGGTATCGATAAGACCTGCATTCACGCATATGTGAGAAGTAAACACGGGGGATCATTGTCTTTTTATCAAATAGATCGTGAATGGCCAGAGATACAATAGCCAGAAAATATATTTTTCACAAGCAGGTGCTCGAGTTCCAGTTACGAGATGTTGAAAAAACATACCCCACTAATGCGAGCTACCACAACAGGGCCGAGAAGTCTATCCACGTATGGGTATAAACACGTCTGGAAGATGAGAAGGCCGGCACCTGGCAGTAGAATTTGGTAATCAGCGATTCCCAGCAAATATATTGAATGAGTATAGAGAGAGTTAAATGATAATAGACCACCATATTTCTAAGTTTCAAATAGACAGAACGTATATCAATGAATACAGACCTCCACCGCCCAAAGTTTTGTTTGAGTTGCACTTTTACTGACTACCTCGTTGTTTTTCTGAAAGAATTTATCTTGAAATATAAGAAAGAAACTGGAGTATGTACCTGAGATAGCAAGAACAGTCCCGACATCTTCAGTAGTGTAGCTTAAGCCCCCATATCGCCTAGGGCTTACGGCCCATAGTGAGAAGATCTACAAAAGAGATAGTAGCACAGAATGGCTAATGAGAGGATCGAACTAAAAGAGCTTAGATAAACACATAAGTGAATATATTAGGAAATCAGCTTGATATGCTGATGCCATATTCCAATCAACTACTTCGAACTAGGATAGAGTTCCAAAGGATAAGCCAAAGTAATGTTATTACAACAACCGCTAAATCGTAACTAGCCAAAAGAATGTCCTCTGACTACTGCATTGCAGATTATAAGTTTGTGTTCATCCATGATGAAAGATTGTTTGCTCTTTAAGCAACTGTCAAAGAAGCACTCGGCAGCATGAGTACCGAAATCATTGCACTCATGATTGTAGAATGTCTGGTACGGTGAATGAAGAAGAACTGAGAAGGCAAGGTAGACAAGCGCGCCGCATTTTAGGTTACCTCCGTGTAAGCCATGTCGTGAAGCGAGAAGATGCAGTACACGATGATGGATGACATCAAGGGCCAATTCCGAATCAGAGACTTTTTCGGAGCTTTCCCCTCGACCTTTTGAGTCTTGTACTTGGTGCTGGACTCGAGGGATGCGTTCTCCACATCTTCGCGAGATTCATCAGGCTCGCTACTTCCGTGGTGCATATGCAATGTTTCCTGCAATAAAACCAGATTTTCGGACCCTCAATAAAGCGCAACAGGCAGTTGGTAATTCTTTCATAGATAAAGTGAAGCAGAGGTAATGTCTCGTGAAAGGACAAACAACCAGATTGTTTTCCGATATCAAGGATGAGAAACATGAACTGAGTTTGGTGAAGTGCGTACCGGAAGCCAGCAGGACGCGATAGAAACTACCAATGCGAAAAGCGAGATGGCGAGACAGGGCAAGAAGTAGGGAAATCTGCATCGAGATCAGGAAATCAAATGTTTACCGCTTGTGTCCATGATCACTCAAAAGGATCTGCAAAATTAATTTGGAAGAAAGCAATCTCCACTCACCTTCCGAACACTGATTCTTTGGAAAATATCGACGGGAACTTTTCTGCAGGCTGAAACGGAAAACATAGAAAACCAGGAACATCAGAGGAGCATGAAAAATGAGAGAAGCATTTCGCACAGTGTCCGAATTGTCATCGCTTTTGGAATACTATATTTCACGCGTCGAGATATGATAAATCAGAAGTACCTGCGCAAGATAACCTCCCACAGCTGGACCGATAATCAATCCTATCCCCCATGCTGTACTAACCTGAGTTCAAAGTGTAACTCTCAGCTTTATTTACTTAGCAGAAGAACTAGGAACCTGTATTGAGAGTTAAAAGGTTTTTACAAAGGTCGGAGATCTTACGGTTGTTACTCCTAGCGCTTGGTACTCCTCACGGAATATTTCGGTCGCATAAGCCTGTTATGAAATTGCGAAATACATATATGGGAATGGTTGCAAATTCATGGAACAAAATAAGAAGGGTACGAATCCCCAAAATCATAAGCCTTACGAGATCTTACCTTGATAGGTCCGAGTAAACCATTTAAACTTCCAAGAAGGAACCTCATGGCAATGGCCATCCAAAAGTTCACACTTAGGCCGAAGAGAGTGTTGAATATAACCCTGATATAAATCAAATCATAACAATTAATTGATTGTATTCGTCAGAGAAGTTTTGTTTCACTGGGAACTCATAATGAATGACGAACTTGTACTAACACTGCGATTATTCCAATAATTATGACAGGTTTTCGCCCGTAACGATCTGCCACGATTCCCCAGAAGACCGATGTCAAGGCTCTCCCGAACATGAATGAAGAACCTTTGAGATTTCAAGGAGTTTGCTAGTGAAAAGTTGAGTCGAAGACAAACAAAGGAGTCTGCAATGAACATAGATAAGCAACTCGGATAATCTCACCTATATAACCGGCATAATACCCAATGTCTTCCTCTCTTTTGGCGATATGAAAATCTCTAATCTGTCATTCGAAATTAAAGAAACAAATAAAGATTTCTTAAGTAGAAGAGGTTAATTCATATGCCTCAGGTCATTTATACAATTATCTGCCGATGTAAGCAATGGAACTTTCAGTCAAGTTTAACCATCCTAAGCAACCGCATGCCATTGGCAAACTCTGCTACTTCAAAGTTAGATAAAAGAATGTTCACTTTGCACATACTTGTTTTATGAGCAACAAAAGCAAAAATTTTCAGGACGAATCGACCAGGAGCCTAGAGAGACAATGTTTAAGAAAACAGACCCCAGACCATACAATTTAGCACAAGATGTCTCAAGTGCAGACAGAACAGTCATATATACATCATACTTGAAAATTAAGTATAGAATGTAAGAGCTTACCATGAAGTAAAGGAATGGGAATAGAGATGATATTGGCAGTGCTGGAAAGAGCAAGGACAAGACACAGGTCAGTAACATCATAAGCCTAATTAGCTACTAATTATGTGACTATAAGTACATCTCTTTGAATCGTCAAAGATCTTCTAATTATGAAAGATCACTATGCAATATCGCCACCGGCTTAACTTCACATCAACAACTGAATTATTCCACACAAATTAACTCCGAAATGTCATGCAAATTCGCGTCGTTGTTATGTCCAGTCACTTGGTAATTTAGAAGAACCCAGAAAAGAAAATCCAGAAGTTGACAGGAAGCTTATGAACGACGATAATGCCATATATGCTTATTACTTGTGCAAAGCACGACGATCCAGATCGACACGAGCTCGCGGATCGGCAAGCCTTTCTGCGATTCCTTAAGCTTCTCGACTTTGCAGCCGGGGCAATTCTCGTAGTAATGTTTCTCCAACAACGGCTCCTTTTGTTCTTCCACTGCCATTGTTATTAACCTCAAGTGGTAGAGCTGAACACACGAAATTCAGCTCCCGAACGAGATCCGCTTCAAGAGAGAATAAACACAAAGCTTCAGCGTAGAACAATACTGCATAGAAATCATATATAATGCTCGACTTCAAGGTATTTTCCAAGAGTGAGAGCGCGTGAAAACACGAAGATGCTTCATGTTTAAAGCTGAAGATATAGATCGTAACTTCAGATCATTTCATGTGGAGAAAAAAGGTTTGAATCACATACCCTATGATTGAGAGGTTTGTTGTTTTGCATGTGGGAGGAAAATTACACAGGAGCTTTGTATGGTAGGCTTTTAAAGGGGAGCCATGGAAGACAATGAGTCTGGTAAAGAAGCTGATGTATTTGACCCCAAAACAGAATAAAAAAAAGGAGGAGCTGATATAGGAAACGTGAGAACCAACCTGTTCCAAATGTCATCACTGCACACGTCGGATTTCTCTGGTTTAAGGACCCGTTATAAAGTGAGTCAGAACAAAAGTTATACTTATGATCGAAATCTTCTGGATTTTGCTTGGCACCATAAAATGTGAGAGCAACCCACTCAAATTTTGTTTTGCATTTTATTTAGTCCAAGACATTAAAATGTAGTTTTAGTGCCCCTGATTTAGGGAAAATTCCAGTTAAGGACTTAGTAGGGGCTTTTTATCAAAAAAGGACCTTAAATGGACATAATATCAAATAAAGGCTTAAAGTGTCCAATCAGTCTCAAATAAGGACCCAAAGTGCCCAATTAGTCTCAAATAAGGGCATGGGTTCGCCGGCTGGTCAAATGCTCACCGGCCAGCGAGCACGTTACTGTTCCGGCGATCGGAACAAGGACAGTTTCGTCTTTTTCTTTTTAATTTTTTTTTCCTTTTTCTATTTTTTTTTCTTTTCCTTTTCCTTTTATGTTTTTTTTCCTCTCTTCCCTCCGCCGGCCATAGCGGGGGCTGGCGGAGGTTGCTGGTCTCAGGCGGAGGTCGCCCTCACTAGCGTCGGGCGAGGGCCGCCCTCGCCTGGGCTGGGCGGGCGAGGGCCGCCCTCGCCTGGGCTGGGCGGGCGAGGGCGACCCTCACCACACGCCGGCGAAGGCGGCCCTCGCTTGGGCTGGGCGAGTGAGGGCGACCCTCACCCTCGTCGGATCGGGCGAGGGTTGACCTTCGCCTGCCTAGCCCAAGCAAGGGTTGCCCTCACCGGCGTCGGGCGAAGGCGGCCCTCGCCTGGGCTGGGTGGGCGAGGGCGATCCTCGCCAGATCCGACGAGGGCAACCCTCGCCCGATGCTGGCGAGGGCGGCCTCCGCCTGAGGCCGGCGACCTCCGCCGGCCCCGGCTATGGCCGGCAGAGGGAAGAGAGGAAAAAAAAACACAGAAAAGGAGAAGGAAAAGAAAAAAATAGAAAAAGGAAAAAAAAAAGAAAAAAATTAAAAAGAAAAAGACAAAATTGCCCTTGTTCCGGTTACCAGAAGAGTAACGTGCTCGCCGGCCGATGAGCATTTGACCGGCCGGAGAATCCAGGCCCTTACTTGAGATTAATTGGGCACTTCGAATCTTTATTTGAGACTGATTGGACATTTCAAACCCTTATTTGACACTATGTCCACTTGAGATCTTTTTTGATAAAAAGCCCCTACTTGGGATCTTTAATTGAAATTTTCCCTTTGATTTACTATCTAGACGGGGGTTTCTCGTTATTAAAAAAATTATTTGAGACTGATTGGACATTTCAAACCCTTATTTGATACTATGTCCACTTGAGATCGTTTTTTTTATAAAAAGCCCCCTACTTGGGATCTTTAATTGAAATTTTTCCTTTGATTTACTATCTATACGGGGGTTTCTCGTTATTAAAAAAGTTATTGAGCATAAGAAAGTTGATGTATTACTTACGTATGAACGATTTGGCAAAATCATCTAACTGGATGTGCAGAAAGCACGTAAAATTTGTTAAGCCGCAAATTTAGGATGATATTGCTTCTCTTGGTCATCACGTATATTCTATTAAATAAATTAAACGGACTACGCATTTTTCAAAACCCTAGATCGAACAAGAATTGCATATCCAAAACTGTCAACTGTTCATCCTACCCCCTCTACGCTCTTGACAGCCCATCGAGATATGACATGCTCAGCCGCCGTCAAAGCTGAATATTGAACTAATGTAAAGTGGCTCTTGGATGACAAAAGGAAAGCAGAGATGATGATGATGGGGACTGCTTTATTTATGGACTACGTGCAAATAACACCAACTATTTGCCCCACACAGAACGTGTAAATAGCGGGAGACAAAGATCAAATGCAATTAGGATACTAGGGATCTGTCCAAAATCTGGGAAAGCAAATTGCAAGTAGGACTCTCAAATCTCACCGACGAGCTTCCAGGAAAGACCTGTAGAAATATTACAAAATAAAGAAATGGGTTATCCAAAGATGTGGATAATAAATTTTACGAGAACACTCAATACATCAAAATTTTAAAATTCTTTCTTATTCGATGACTTGATAATCTTAAGTACCTTAATATAGGACAAGAGATTGACACACTACATCAAGTAAAACTGACCTGTTTTCGACAGTGGATTTTGAAAAAACAAAAGGCGTGCCGTTGGTATATGAAACTTGTTTTGTCTATAGAATTTCTAGGTCAGTTTCCAGTGAAATAAATTTTACATCAACCACCAATAAAAAAAAAATTTAAATGCCGACAGCAACATGCTAAGTCATAATGGATAAGTACAAGAGGTCAAATACCTGAAGTAGTACTGTTTTTTTATTCTTTTTGCTGCTTTCCACATGACTAGCACAAGGTCACGGACAATCATTTCCTAAACGACAGCAACTTGGAAAAAAATAGAAATGATTCCCGGTCTTTTTGGAATTATATATGTGAAGAGAGATAGATGCGATCTAGGGCACGTCTCTTGACTTGATAACGTGCTGGAAAAAAGGAAAAAAGAAGTGGTTCCAAAATGATGGTGGCAGCAACAATACTTGATTGAAATCCTGAGATAACCACGAGAGTATGGAATCTGGATAGAAAGAGTTGGGAGAGATTGAATTCTCCTCTTGATTTTCAGCCGAAGTGGTCAAGAACAAGTAATCCTCTCTCGTTGTCTTGACCTCACCCAGAACAAACGAATTTGGCAACCTCTTTTTCTGTTCTTCTTTTCACGTTATCAATCTTAGGTGAATGGCGGCATTAGTAATTTCATTTTTCTTTTGTCATCTCAAAAAAAAAATATGGAAAAATTTACCAAAAAAGTCATAAAGATGTTGTAATTTCATATTGTCCTAAACATTTTCTGTCGTGGCAGTCTAAGCATCGCTAGCCGTCGTATGTGGCATATCGCCACGTCAGTGATTTCTAGCGAAAATTGACCGGAAGAACTACATTGAAATTTTATATATAGATTTGAAACTAAATTTGTCAAAATTGAAAAATTTAAGATCGAATTGGCATCCTTACAATAAATTTAGAACTGATTTGATGATTCCATATATGTGTGTGTGTGTTGAAGGAAATATCCTCGAATTAGGGATGGAGAAATATATATTCCTTTGCGTACACAATTGAATTTTTAGAGTGGGCAGGGCAGTGCGGGGCGAGGCATAATGAAACAATTGGACAAACAAGGAATGCGATCGATAATATGCATAATGTTGATATTGACTGGTAATAGCGACAATGTGCACTACAACAGAAGTATTTTGCAATAGAGAGATTGATTCATACAGACAAGGAAAATTAAGAATGAAACATTTATTTTCCAAACTGTCAGGATCATAGCACAATCACGACTGCCATATGCATAATGATTGACTATGGACGGGTTTCTTTTAAAGAGTTCATCCGCATGGAAGAGTATGTTACGCGACAATCATATCACCCGACATTTTGATGTGGCATTTCTCGGGCATATAATTTTGATAAATTTATACATGAAATGCTTGAAAACTATAATGGAAACAACAAATCAAATAATTTGTCATGTGGCGTCACATTGTATAACCAATGCATGGACTTTTCTATGGGTGAATGGCTGCTTTGATGGTATAACATGAGCCTTGTAGCCCAAAAAGACAGGAATGGGCCCATTCAAAATGATCTTGCAAGTGATTCTCGAGGCTATGGCCCGTATTCAATGTAAAAGTAGTGAGAATAAGGGGTGCCTAGAAAATTAAGTGACAGAATAATAGACTAGACTTGACCAACAGGCAGACGGTGTTGATATATCGAACCTAAACTTTCCTATCTAGGCTCGCGCATGTCGTAAAATATGTAATATGCTGTTTATACAATGATTGGGCCAAAAAAGGAATTACTTCCCTAATTTGCTCCAAATTGTGCTTTGAGTTTGGAGACACTATGCCGCCTTTAGACCCATGATTAGGTCTAGAGTAGATAAGTTAACGAACCTAAGATTGATGGACTTGTCCAACTCTTCCGTTTATATGAGCTTGTGAGCAAATTTTAGACCCAACTCGGCTTGTGAAACAATCGAATGGCATTTGATATTTTGCAAGCTGTGACGCTCCAGAACGTCACTCGCGACATGTATTCTCTCTAATTATATCTTTTAATTATAATTACACAAGCGGAAGCATAATAAAACATTCATACCATACATGAAGATCGCATGAGTTTAATTATACATAGTCCTGGAAAGAAAAGTCAGGTCAACTAGCACCTCTACACCCACCCAAAAGCGAACCTAAACATTAACCAAGCCACCATCCAATTCAGGGGTTGGTGGCCTTCGGTATCATCTTGTCCCCTCCATCGTCATATCCAGGGGAACCATCCTACGAATCTGAAAAAATAAGGGGTAAGCCGAAACCTAGTAAATGAAATCTCTAAATCTAAGATAGGAGATCGGCTTACCACTCAACTTGATACGTACAAACAACGTGAGTTCAAGACAATACAAAACAACCATGTATGAAGCAAATGCTCTATCTAGACTATCATGATATGCCAATGGAAACCATTAACAATATTGCATAAGATTATTTACTTAATTGCAAGCAGATGCCATATTAGTTCATGATGCACAAATATTATCATAGTGGCTCACCGATACATACAAGTGAGTTAATATTCATCACTAGCCAGGATCATAGGCAACTCAACTAACGAGGCATCATCATTCATATCCTTTGCCTCGCCTCAGTACATTCATCACGGGTGTCATTTACATCAGCGATGATAAATACACCACTGAATATTCGCATGATGATGGTCATTTCTTAACATCACACTATGGCTACACAAGCCATGTCATACCCATGACTACACAAGCTATGTCATACGCATGACTACACAAACAATGTCATACGCATGACTACACAAACAATGTCATACCATGATTACACGAGCCATGTCATCATATGATTTCATTGTAGAGAACCGTCATATACGGTAGAACAACTAGCTCACTCCAGAGTCTCATCCACAAACTCATACAAGGGAATTCGCTCGGCAGCGAATAGGTTGTAGCAAATGTCTTAATCACATGGCATCATTCACATGCAATTATTATAACACAACCATTGTCATATACATCCAGTAGTTTGTCTTTTCTCATGCAGTTAAAGACAAACAAATTATTTCATGCACTTCAACACATATATCTTCATTCATTTCTTATCATGCTTTTCAATGATCACATAATAATAGCATACTAACTTTCCTTCATTTCTCATGCAAACATTAATAATATATTCTGAAAATCGGCAATTGGGCATACTTGGTACTCAGCAAATAGATATACTCAGCAAGTGGTTATACTCAGGTAAGTGAATATACTCTGTAAGTGAATATATTCAACAAGTGGATATGATCAATGGCCAATGAGTAAAACGTGGATATGATCTGTGGCCAATATGTAAAAGGTGCATATCATCAGCGCCCAGTGAACCAGAATTTCGGAAATGACACTCTCAAACCCGATTTTTGTCATTTTTATGTTTCTAACATCCAACATACTGTCACACCTCACGGAAAACAATCAAACACCCTTTTTGCATAAAAAAAACTCATCAAAACAAGATATATCACCACAATAAATCCAAACAACTTTATTGTAACATGCTCACACTTACTATCAAATTTAACTAAAATGAAAATTAACAATCATCAACCAATCAAGTCCAAAGTACTAAGTGGATAATCCTAACTTATTCTCTAGAGTTTTCACTTACTTTGAATTAAAGACTTGACAACTCAAAGCCGTAGTTACCTCGTCGACACCTGAAAGGTTGAGGTAGGAACTTTAATAATACAAAGGTGAGACCATCGCTTTTACTCGCAAGATTTGAAAACGAAAGTTGAGGAAAAGTTGGAAGTTAATGTAGTAAGGACTCCCACTTTGAAGCTTGAAGACCTCCAAAGACCCATTTATACGGCCAAGGGGAATAAACCTAAGGCTAAAGTAATAAATGCCCTTGGGTTAAAGTCATGAGGTCCAAGAGTAGAAGGGTATGTGTGTTCTAATAGAAATGCTTCCAGTGGCCCTAAGTAAGTAGCTAGGATGTAAAAGTGGCATAATAAGATGAACTTTAAGGAGATTTTTTTTTATTCAAATGAGAGATGGCTTCTTCTTGGCCAGGTAAAATAGGTGAGTAATCAAGGCATTAATGGGATAGAGTTGAAATTGACAATGTAATGCATGATATCATAGCTAGCGAAGTTCAATGTCTCAAATTAAAAGCTTGGGTTTAAAATTCTTGGTAGAAAAATGAAGAGAGGGTGTGCCAAATGAAAAGAAACCTAAGGCTTAATCCAAAATATGTTGTTAGGTTACCAAAATATTTATTAAATAAGTAAGTAAACAAGGAAAACCAGTGTCCTTTTTATATACTGATAAGTCGGAAAAATATTTTGAACTTACTAAAATTATTAGTGAAAACATCGGATGCTAGAAAAATCTCAATTTAAAACTTGGAAGTCATCAAATATGTAATTCGAAGCATGTCAGTCCCTATCTATGACCACGATGGCAGTAAATTAATTACCGTCATTCTACATCACTACGTACGTGCACGTCGACATCTATCAATTTAATTCTAACGCATCGGACTTCGGGCGGTATGGTCGCGGAAAATTCATCTGTCGTAACCTTCAAACCTAAAAAATTAATGACCCACTTGAGATTCCATACGAGCCATCCAAAACTCCAAGTTACTTGACTTTATATCTTATATATACCATTGATCATACAAAATATCGGATGTCACACAAGCTGCTTTGAGTTTTGGCAGCGCTATACTTTGAATTCATCCGGGTTCAATTCTGCTTTCTTTTAGTCGTGGTGCTTGACAAGGAACGGCTTGAACGTCATCAGCACCCCGATTGCCTCGACCACATTCAAGATGAAGAAGATCATCTGGTTGCCTGCACAATGGCATGGGGTCGTTAAAGTTCCTTGGTCAGCTGAGAGTTGACGCGCGGTCTATCACGGTCGCATAGACTTATTTCTCATCAGTGTACATCATGAATGTGTGCATGTACACATCTTCTTGTAAAGACCTTTTCTTTTAGCATATGACAGCAGATGAGTTAATTACGGTAATACACAGAAGGCCAGAGCCGCTCTCAGAATGGGAAGTTCGGTTTACCTGGGAGGAAGGCCGCGTCCTGACGCTTCTTTGCCCAAGAGAATCTGCAAAAGATTTGAGTCCGTGGATGAGAACATTAATCAAGTCTACTCAAGCTAGCAGAAGTAATTGTTTGTTTTCACTTATGAGTTTAATATGATCGACTGCTCAATTGTCCCATCGTAGTGATATAATGAAAGCCGACAACAATTAACCGGAACTCACATCGTGCCTCCTCCAGCTGGACCAGCCGCGTTGAAGAGAGACATGGCGGTCATTGCGATTCCATTAGCAGCCCCCCTCTGATCTTGATCCTGCGATTTCAGATCTGAACTTAAGCCAAACCTTCTCGAGAGAGATATGTATTCGAGAATGTTAATAAATATCAGATTGGTCGAAGATGATCATTAGAAGCTTACCACAGCTTTGTTTTGCAGAAGGAACAAGCTGGTAAAGACAGAAAGCTGTCGACATGCAAAATTTGACAGTTAGAATTAGATATGAACAGAGATTTTGCTTACTCTTTTCCATACAGAAAAAGTAATTCCAATCATTTCCGTGCATATCAGCTTCATATAGTATAGCTCAGAGTGTAACGCATACTCACAGATAGAACATTCTTCGCGACTGATGCGCAATTCAACACTATGGAGAGACTTAACCCGGTTAGCATGGCTATAAAAGGGTAGCTTGACAATAGGGGTATCGATAAGACCTGCATTCAAGCATTTGTGCGAAGGAAACATGGGATTATCGTCTTTTTATCAAATAGATCGTGAATAG